ATTCGTCCCGATGGCCAGTCCGCCACTGCACCCAGCCCACGTAAACTGTCAACGGGGGGAGCCTCGCTGCGGGGAAACGGTGGACCTAGTGTCCCGATCGGAGTGGGAATAATAATAATAATAATCCGTGCATTTGATCCATTAATTTCCCCAACATTGTGGTAAAAAAACCACACGTTTAATCCATGTTGGTGTACTACAACTACAAAAAGCATCGGTTTGTTTTCTCATCAGGGAATGCAGACCGGCTCAAACAAACGATTTGTAATCATCATTCTCACGATCATTTAATGTATCATATATTCGCCGAATTGACATGAAAGCACTAATAAATGTAGTTTCATCCACTTGAGTTTACAACTACAAAAATAATCGATTTGTTTTTATATCACATCCTACGGGAGGAAATTCAGCAGCTCTCACTACCGATTTTGAATCCTAATGTAATCATCATCTTCACCACGATCATTTATGTTTATGTTCGCCGAATTGACATGAAAGCACTGACAAATATGAATATACTGTAGTCAACTTCATTAAAACGTTATTAACGTGCCTAAACTCAGTAATTCACCATTTCTACGCATGACAACACACTTTGTCCGTGTTTGGCTCTCTCGCCGCACAGTGAAGCGTTCCCGCATTGACGTCACTTCCGGCTTCCCCCAAAACTTCTAAATGAGTCGAAGGAATTTCCCCGCGATGTTCGAAATTATTGATATTTATCGGAACGGTATCGCACCTTCTTTTTTAAACTGACGGTTCGAGATGACTAGTAGCCCAATATTTCATTGCACAACAGTTGTTGGGATGCTGTCACAGGCTCTTTAAAAAGATGAGAGGCCTGTAATTTTCATCCTAGGTACACTTCAACTATGAGAGACAGAATGGGGGGAAAGAATCCAGGAAATCACATTGTAGGATTTTTAATGAATTAATTGGTAAATTCCTCGGTAAAATAAGTATTTGGTCACCTACAAACTTCACTATGGCCAAGACCAAAGAGCTGTCAAAGGACACCAGAAACAAAATTGTAGACCTGCACCAGGCTGGGAAGACTGAATCTGCAATAGGTAAGCAGCTTGGTGTGAAGAAATCAACTGTGGGAGCAATTATTAGAAAATGGAAGACATACAAGACCACTGATAATCTCCCTCGATCTGGGGCTCCAGCAAGATCTCACTCCGTGGGGTCAAAATGATCACAAGAACGGTGAGCAAAAATCCCAGAACCACACGGGGGGACCTAGTCAATGACCTGCAGAGAGCTGGGACCAAAGTAACAAAGGCTACCATCAGTAACACACTACGCCGCCAGGGACTCAAATCCTGCAGTGACGTGTCCCCCTGCTTAAGCCAGTACATGTCCAGGCCCGTCTGAAGTTTGCTAGAGAGCATTTAGATGATCCAGAAGAGGATTGGGAGAATGTCATATGGTCAGATGAAACCAAAATAGAACTTTTTGGTAAAAACTCAACTAGACGTGTTTGGAGGAGAAAGAATGCTGAGTTGCATCCAAAGAACACCATACCTACTGTGAAACATGGGGGTGGAAACATCATGCTTTGGGGCTGTTTTTCTGTAAAGGGACCAAGACGACTGATCCGTGTAAAGGAAAGAATGAATGGGGCCATGTATCGTGAGATTTTGAGTGACAGCCTCCTTCCATCAGCAAGGGCATTGAAGATGAAACGTGGCTGGGTCTTTCAGCATGACAATGATCCCAAACACACCGCCCGGGCAACGAAGGAGTGGCTTCGTAAGAAGCATTTCAAGGTCCTGGAGTGACCTAGCCAGTCTCCAGATCTCAACCCCATAGAAAATCTTTGGAGGGAGTTGAAAGTCCGTGTTGCCCAGCGACAGCCCCAAAACATCACTGCTCTAGAGGAGATCTGCATGGAGGAATGGGCCGAAATACCAGCAACAGTGTGTGAAAACCTTGTGAAGACTTACAGAAAACGTTTGACCTCTGTCATTGCCAACAAAGGGTATATAACAAAGTATTGAGATTAACTTTTGTTATTGACCAAATACTTATTTTCCACCATCATTTGCAAATAAATTCTTAAAAAATCAGACAATGTGATTTTCTGGATTTTTTTCCCCTCATTTTGTCTCTCATAGTTGAGGTATACCTAGGATGAAAATTACAGGCCTCTCTCATCTTTTTAAGTGGGAGAACTTGCACAATTGGTGGCTGACTAAATACTTTTTTGCCCCACTGTATGTGTTGATAGACTCCATTTGGCATCAATGAGCTGGATACAAATCCCCATACAACTCATCACCAACATGATTGAAATCATTTTCACTTAAAGCCGTGGCTGGAAATGTTGTTTTGATTGGGAGAGTAGTGTAGTTAAAAATGTTCTATCCAACTCTCTCCTTTTAAAATGTTTAAATCGTAATTTATTCTTAATTACAGTATTTGTATTTGTTGTATTCCTTGGATTGTGGCTTGTACTGCTTTGTGCGTCATTAATGTTTTTCACCCAACAATATAACATCCTGAATTTAGGTCAGTAGTGTGCTTAAAGGTGGGGTAGGTCATTTTGGAGAAACCAGCTCGAGTGCGCCAGAATTTGAAAATACACAGCCGGAACAAATTTGCCACTTCCTTACAGAGCCCCTCCTCCAACACACACGAACGCGCACATGACCAATGAGGGCACGAGATAAGTTTGTGCACAGATGGAATGCTGACAGGCAGGTAGGTCATCCAGTATTTTAGCCGGGCCGTACTACAGCTTCCACAGATGACATTTTTTTATGGATTTTTTGTCAAAGCACTTAAGATATTCATTGCTATCGGGATGTTAAGAGCATTCCATGGAATATAACAAAAAGTGTATCTCGAGCCGGTTTCTCAAACTTACCTACCCCACCTTTAAGCAGAGCCTTCTAGGAATAGAGCATGTAATGCGCTAGTTAATAGCTCCCTCTTGTGGTGTATAAAGCATGGTGAGGAACATCATTAAAGACACGGTGTGGCCTTAGAGGATTGTTCTATACTTTGGACCTTTGTGTGTGCAAGTTTGTGCATGATTATCTGATGATTATTCACAATTCCTTACCTTACAGAAAGTGAATAGGATTCTTGTTTGATGTGCAGATAACAGTGTGTATTATAACATTCAAAATCAGTATTGTATTATTGTGGAGGGGAATGGAAGATTACAAAAAAGCTTTCATTCAATGTGGAATCTGTTTGGAGAGAACATTGGACTTAGTTTCAATTATTAGTGAGCCGTAGATCTCTGTATCGTCTCTTAATTGTGTTATTGTGGCTTTTGTGTTCCCATCAAATGATATGGTACGTTAAAGTTTGTATTCCACCTGTCACTGATGAGGGAGACCACCCCTCTGATTCCCCACCACTAGGATAAGAGTGGGGCGGTAAAAAGTGCCAATGTTAATTGATGTGCTTCTGAAAATTCTATTTATAGGGCCTCTGTATTTCAGCAGCTGTCCCTCTTCTATCTGCCTGTCCAGCTGCTCTCACATTACCCCCCCCCCCCCACTCCTCACACCACTGCTTTATTACTGTGCTGTGCTGACTGAGACCCCACCCTCGCCATTGCCCTCCCACTCACTCTGGACTAGTGAGTGTGAGCTCTTTGTAGGCCCGGGTCCTAGCCTGCCGTGCACTGATCGTGTGACAGAGCGAAGATTGGAAGGTTGACCAGGCTTTAAGCGAAGGTAATGGGCGCCCGCCTCTGGTGGACTATGTGTGTGGTGAGCGGTGTGATCTGCTCAGGGTGTACATGCTCTGCTTAGCAGTTCCATTTGGGCTCTGATGGCGTCTGAGAATGGCCTCCTTTAGCTGCTGAAACTATTTATAGGAGTTGACTCTGTGGAAAGCAGGGCCAGAGATGGTGAAACATGTTGCTGCACGCCTCATTTTTGCTCTCCCCTCTAGAAGTTATAATCAATTATGTTCCAAACTTTGATTGAAAAGTTGTGATAGGTAATAAAATGTTTGTAGCAAGTGGCGTTTAATTGGTTCATTTGCTGATTGCGCTTCTGTTGTGTATACTAGCCCTTTGCTGATTTGATTTGAATGTGGTGCCCCAATTTTGAATGTTATAAGCAATTAAATGGCCGTTATCAGTCATGCACCACTGCACCAGTACAAGTGAAAGTGAAACTTAAAACAACACTTAAAAAGTTTAACTAAAAGAAACGTAACAACAAATATTTGTTTACGTTTAGGCAACAAAACTAATTGTTTAGGGTTAGTGTTTAATATTCTTTGGTTACAATACTTAGTATGAAAAGTGAAATTGAAACTTGGGAACACAAAGACAACAACACGTTTTCCATGGGAAGTAAACAATGACCTTCTGTGTAATTGTCCTTGGTTTTTCCTTTCTATATTTTCACTTCAGCCTTTACTCCTTTCACATCTTCTTGGTTTCCTTTAATTCTGTGATTAACTGTGAAAAGATGATTAGACCTACATCTATGTGGCTGATCACTACTGATAACTTCCATTTCATCAGCTGATAACAATTAAGGCAGCTGGAAAACATACGTGATCATTTAAGCGTCAAATAGTTATACAAAAGAGTAATTGTGAGCCTCATTTAACTAACACCATTATTACAGTCAGTGTTGAGTCAGACTTCTAGTCCATTTGCAGTTTTGTAGATCTTCTCCCATTTGTCTCTTGTAGTGTGAAGTAAGCAAACTATTCTCATGTGTTTGTCCCCAGGGCTGCATGGTCCCACTGTTGTGTGTCGAATCATTCCATACATTTAATCTCTACGTCCACCAGCTTTGTTCCATGACTTCTGGCCTATCTCCATGGCGTACAAATCACGCTTTTCCTTCTGGGAGCGAAAGGGAAGTCTTGTTTTTCTGTGTTTTGTTTAGATCCTATACTCATGCTGTTTCTTATTATTTATTTTAAATATTCCATTATGTTGACGGAGAAAGGTGTGGGCTGAATGTGAGGTTTGATTTTGTTTTTTCTTGTTGCTTCCTATTGTGTAGGAGACCAAGCCAGATGTAAGTTGTTATCCCCTGCATGCTTTTGAGCACTAACTCACCTGATAAAAACATTTGTGTGTGCCGTGGTATAAAATAGCAACATAGTTTGGTCACTTATGATGATTATGACCTTCTGCAAGTCGTTTCTAAATCAATAGTTATTCATTACTCTGAAACTTCTGGTTTGAAAATATAACAAAAGCATGCATTTGATCTAAGACCGTATCTAACATTTGAGTATTTTCATTCTCACCACTGAGCATCAGTGTATGCATGTGTCCACAACATTTCAATTATGTTTACATTCAGGGTTTTCTCATTTAAATGCATTGTGTGCATCCTTGAAGTCTGTCAAATGTTTTGAGTACATTTCTGAATGTTTGCCAATAGGAGTGAGGCTTTTAAGATTCACCAATGGAAAAACACTAGCTGATATACATCTATTTGAAATAGGACCTTACACAACGTTTCTGAAGCCAGAAAATGCCCCCCACAAGTGCCCAACTATCATAACATTCCATTGTCCATGTTCCATGTCATTCCATTACAAGTTATTTTACTGCTTGTTCCATAACAGATATTCTGCTTTCACAAGGCAAATACAATCTACTACAAAAAGGTTGAGCTTTTCATAGTTATCCAGCCAAACTAAATCAATACATGGAGGTCATATTACTTCAAAGTCCTCGTAGACAGGAAAGTAAAAAAAGAAGGGAACCTCATAACACATAATCTGTCCTCCTCTTGAGTGGCGTTTCTAATGGCTAATGCAATATTTGCTTTTGTTGAAATTATACAAACAATTATCACAAACAGATTTACACTTAACTTGTTCCTAATGGAATTTATATTGTTTTATCTACCAACCGTTTTTCTCTATAAATGAGTAACATTTTTCTGAACAGCCACAGAATATTAAAAGGTGATCAGTTCATGCACACAATATTGGAAATATATGACCATGTAAAATGTCATGAGTCTTTAATCTAAAAGTCTATTCAAAGGCTGAACAATTCAACATGTATGTCTTCTGTCTGGAGGTTCCCATCTTATATCATCACCAATGACCAGAACTTAATTCAATATAAGAACCCTAAAAAGGAATGCAAAAGCGTAAATACTTGTACTTTCACAGAAACCCTTAACACCACAAGCAAAGTCAGACACAGGACACACATGAATTTACAATAACACTGTTGAAATCTTTGACAGTTCATCTCCGCCAGGCATGGGATTAATCTGCAGTATATCTGCCCTGCTCTGTTTGTATCCAGCCTAATGTAGATAGTAGTCAGCCTGAGGCCATCGCTAAACCCGGGCTAGCCACAGAAAGTGGTCCACCGTCAACGGCCTCATCAGCCGAAGAGACAAATTCCACCATTGCCATGGACACTCCGGGGGAGGAGCAGGGCGGTAAAAAAGTTGTGACGGTTGTGAGAAGAATTGTTAGACGTGTAGTTCCTGCTCAGCCAGAAGGGCCGACCCAGCCTGTTGTTCCAGAGCCTGCAAGGGCTGCCTTTGCCGCAGACTCGTTGCCCAAAACCACCACTAGGCCGGATGATATCTCTATGGGCCTCACCAGCCTAATGGGCAGAAGTAGAACCAAGGAACACCGGCCTCGCACCCGCACCCAGGACCGCAAAGAGGACATGAAAGAAGAGGCAAAACAGGAGGAAGAGGAGAAAGTAGCTGTGGAAGAAAAGGAAGAAAAACCTGCTGTGGAAAAAACAGAGGAGGCCACTGCAACCAACCCTACAGCACCAACACCTGCATCCCCTAAAGTGAACCCCCTCACCCCTCCAGCTGGGTTCATCCCCGCTCCCAAACCCAACCCTTTGGCCCCACCGGTTGGCTTCATCCCGCTCCCCAAACAGAATCTGTTGACTCCTCCGCCTGGTTTCATCCCTGCCAGAAAACCCAGTCCAGTGCCCCCAAGACAGAATCCCCTAGCAAGACCTCCAGGATTCGTCCCTGTTCACAAGACAGATCCTCTGGCTCCTCCTGCGGGGTTCATCCCAAAGCCCCGACCAGTTGCCGTAAAGAAACCGGAGGTACAGAGTGAAACAAAAGCATGTTTGCTACTTAACCTCAGGTTGGAGCATGCTGTTCAATAACAACACAGACATTACTGTCCATATTCAACCTCATCCCAATGTCTAGCCTAAAACACATTTTCAATTTGAGCAGATTGTCTTTTGATTATGGATAATCATTTCTTATATCAAGCATGATAAGGCCTGATCACAGAGTGTTTTGCAGGTTAAAAAAGGGATGCACATATTACTGTTTTGATTTTTGTTGACCACCTGATTTGTCTGAATTGTTTGCAGTATACCACCTACAATAAATACATATTGTTGGTCGACAACAAGTACTAAAGTTAGCTTAACACAAACCCTAAACCATAAGATACCCTAATAGTTAATAGTACAATTTAATTAGTAAAACCTCTCTCCGGATATTTTGAGTTCGACATTCATTTACGTCCCAATATATATAGTATATTTCCGGGTTTTGCACAACAGACAAAACAGAAGGCATTAGGTCATCCATTTAGACAATAGGAACAACGTTTTGGACAAAGGAAATACTTTATTTATTCCCGGGCAGTTGGACGTTTTTTTAAACTTGAGGAGTTCAGGGCGCTCCTTCAAAAAGAGGTGGAGCTCTGCAACCCAAAAGCAGTAAGCAAAACACTTCCCTATAGTTGAAAACAATGACATGAAAGCTTCAGCACACTCTGTCGGACCGGGGCCTACATGTCATTTTCATTATTAACTAAATCGCTCTTTCTTAATTTTGTTGCTCCAACTTGGGCAAAAATGGGCCATAATACAAACACACCACACCACACAAGATAAGGGAAACGGTGCATGTACCACCTCATGATCATATTTCATCTGTGGATTTAAGCGTGTGCTCATCGCCTGAACTCTGGTAATCCGGTCAGTTGGAGATGTCAGTGAGCACCGAGCCGTGACTCATTACTGTTGTGAGGCTTTAAGGATCTTTTAGGATGGACTCACAATAGGAAGTCAAATTATGTTCTTATTGAGTAAACTCATCTGTAGTTCTTGCCAATTAAACAGACCAACACAGTTGTTTAGAGAACACAAGTGTCCAGTGGGTCGTGCAGATTGGAGCTGGATGATTACATTTAGCTTCATCTAAATTATAAACCTTTCGACGTCTAGATTTTTATTTTGTAGCTGCCCTTTCAGTTTCATACTTCCTTAGTCATTTGTTCCTCAGACAGTTCTATTTTTTCCTTTTGATGTAGTGTCTGTCTTGGGCATTTTGTCTGCCAGCAGGCCATCTGAAAAATGTGATCAACAGATGTCCATGAAATCTGGCAAACAGTTGGGTGTTTGGCCGTGGAGCGAAGGATTCAATTTGTGAGATATGCACCTGGTGTTTTTGCTGAGGATTATTGTGTTTTTGACTGTTCTGGGGAGAGATTTAGTTTTCCAATATTAGGGAAAGAAAGATGTGAACTTCTAAATGCAATTTGTCAAGCATTCTTGGAGGTTGGTGCTATCTATTGATTTTTTATGTTCAGCTCTCACTGGAGTTCAATTAAAACTAGCAAGAAAAATGCTTTACTTAGCGTTGCTGTCACCTAAAGATACAAATAAATCAGAAGTAATGATTTCATCACGATTAAAAAGTTTGTCTTCAATTTACTCGCAAACAGCAGCAGATAAAACTATACATATTGATCCACAGCTGCATACAATAATTAAAATGCAGGTGTTATTCCCAGTTGCTAATTCAGCTGAGAAAACACAAAATGATATTACTACTTGAAAGAAACTGCAACGGGTTGTTGTTTGAGTAACCATTGACAAACAAAAGCCTCCAACCAACGCTTAATGATCCAATTTTCTTTAATAGTCATTTTCCTTTACTCATTTCCTGTTTGACTTAACCGGAACATTTCATTAGCAGAAACAAACCTCACTTGAAGTTGATTGTTGTTGCGGTTGTGTTGAATTGAACACAAATTTGAAAGAAAAATACTCTTATCTTCATCTTCCCATGTCATTTCCATGTGTGTGTGTGTGTGTGTGTGTGTGTGTGTGTGTGTGTGTGTGTGTGTGTGTGTGTGTGTGTGTGAACGTTTGTCTGTCAAAATGTGTGTGTGGATATAATGTGTAAAGGTAAAGGAGACATCTTCTCCGTCTGTGGCCCCCGATGGTAAGCCGTCCCCTGTTGCATGTCCCCAGGCTCAGTCTGCAACCAATGAACAGGTGTGTGTTCGTCTTGCTGCAAAGGTACACCAAGTATGAGTGTGTGTCACTAGACATACATACACACTGTTTCCACAACCCATGTTAATATATCTAATATGTGATATATGACTCTATATGCATATATGTCCATTTTCATTTTCATTCATTTCTTACCTATAGTTTATATGACCAAATATGTATATATGCTCATTTTAATTTTAATTGTATTAATTTCTTATTTCATAGTTTGTCATTATTATTTTTTGTATCGCTGATCTTATTTTTGATTGTATGAATCTGTGCTATCCTGTTTTTCACTCTTACCCTGTTGCTGTTTAAGCAACTGCATTTCCCCACCGGGATTAATAAAGGTCCATCTTATCTTATCTTATCTTCTCACACAAAAAAGCACTAGACTTATTTTATTTTTTTTACATGGAATGCTTCTACGAGCCCACTCAGTCTGAAGTGGAACAATCATAGCAATTTTCTCTGCATCATTGATTGTGCTTTCTGCAATTTCAATCGCTGGTCCTGCAATCCTACTGTAGGTCCCACAGCTGACTCCCTCTGAGGAGGATCACAAGCGTGTGAGGAGGATCTTCGCTGCCGATGCCAATGATGTAACTTTTCTCTTTGAAACTTTGTTTGGTTTGCGGCTGCCATGCTTTTACCAACCTATACCAGCCTGGGTCTACTGCTTGCTTCCCTGGATAGAGGGAAATGTGTCCAAAACCCACCCATGTGTACGGCTGTCCCAAGCTGTCTGCCAATGGGTTTCAATTACAAGGGTCCCCTGCGTTGTTGGCCCTTTGGAGGGACATCTGAAACTTTGTGACCAAAGGGACTTTTTCTCTGTCTGCGGGAGTAATGGAGATTACTTCAGAGTTAGCTCAATAGAAAGTTAAGGATTTTCCTGGTAGTCGGTAGTTGGAGTACAGCCCTTAAAATAGGTTGGATTGGATTACATTAGATTAGATGTACTTTTAAGGCACTGCACATGAGTTTAAAACACAAATAAACAGTAAATATTAACAGTAGAAAAGTAAAGATCTATAGAGTATCTATAGATTACACAATAATTGACTCCTACTAATAAAATACAAACCTACTAAATACATTATGTACGTGTGCAAGGTAGTTGCATTTTTTTAAATAAAAAATGAAGTGCAATGAGCTAGAGTGCGAGTACAATATGTACAATTGTTCAGGATGACTGGTATCCCCTCTTATTCTTTCTGTAGTATTAACTTCGTTGGCGGTGGTGGCGAAGTCGATAGGGACTTGGCAACTGGAAGGTCACCAGTTCAAGTCCCGGCAAGACCAAGTGCTACCGAGGTGTCCCTGAGCAAGGCACCGTTCCCCACACTGCTCCCCGGGCGCCGTTCAAAATGGCTGCACACTGCTCCTAACACTAGGATGTGTCAAATGCAGAGAAACAATTTCCCCACGAGGGATTAATAAAAGTCCATCTTTTGTTGTTGTTGTTGTTATCAGGTGCACCCGTGTACTTTATGACTTTGTTTATTGCCCATTCTGGTTATTTTGACAGTACTTCTTCATTACACCTCGGTGTCTAGTTATTTCTTCTTTCAGTCTAAAGCACTGGAAGGCACATCTTTCTCCTGTTATATCATATTGTGTCTCATGTCTGTGTGTTTGCCTCTCTGTGGGTCATCGGATCCTCACCTGCTGCTGGTCTCCTTGCTGTTTGCATGGCTAGCGTGCCAGAGGCCGTAAATCCTCTCGGGTACGGCCTGTCGTATGGAGAGCGCGCCACAGAGTGCTGGTGTCTGAGCTTGTTGTCCTACACTGACCCCTCCCTGCTCTGTCTGTGCCCCCCCCTGCTCCTCTCTGTCCCCGCGCTGCTCTATTCGGTTCATTCAAGGTTAATGCTAGAGCTCGGTTCTGTGATGTAACACAAACAAGTGGTTACCAATGTTTGGTCAGGGATTCTTGAATTAACAAGTGCAGCTGTGTATTGGCCTTGCAGTTTTTGCTATTTTCACTCAGATATTGATACCAAGGTTACGATTTATTAGTGTAGGAAATAAAACAAAATGTACTTGGGGAACATAATTGTGGGAAAATATACACAGTTTTTCCACCTTTTGTCAATATGACTAAGAACCGTATATTTCAAAGAGCAGTGTCTTTATAATAGCATATGTGAGAAATAAATCATTCTAACTATTCAGGCTTTTATTTTGCTCAGAATAGCCTTTGTTTATGTATTCATTTAGATAAAGTCCTATCAATAACTGCAGTTTAACATATTTAGCAGGTCTTATTTCACTTACTGACATTTTGAACATGGATGAAATTAAAATGTACACTCCACTATTCAGGTCTACTTCATCATATCTTATGATCATTAACAATATACATAACATAACCTTACTGTAGTTGCTCCTGTCTGTAACTAGATAAGCACATGTACAAGGTATTATATCTGTTAACTCTAAAACTTGGGTATTCCGTACAATTACTGAATTGCTTGCAATGACACATATTATATCAAGATATTACTACGTCATTGTGTTTATGCACCGTACTATCTCTGCTCCAAGCACATTAGCATTGACTATTAAATTGTTTTACAACTGGCTCTATAATGCCCTGCATTTATACCTCATACTGTGTACAACTGATCTTGTTAACTGTGACTGTTAATATGACAGAACATTCATTTTCTTTATAATAGTCCCCACAGGCCTGTAGACTGCACTTTAATGCACCTTGTAATCCCTGCTCATTAATACATTAACATTGTAGTTTTTAATGGTGAATTCATATAATGACTTTTTCTGCTACCGTTGCTTGACTTGATAGTGCACTGCTGCTGCGCCGTGTCTTGCTACAGTGTTTTATTTGATGTGCTTTTTACGAATTTGCTTGATTGAATGCAATGTTTAGCTGTTGAATTCAATCTTCTTCTTCCCTTCTCCAGTCGAAGCTTGTTGAGGACCCTGTGGCCATCCTTCAGGCAGCGCACTCGACTGCAGCTCAGGTCTGACCATGGCTACTACTGATTGTAGTTCTGGTTGCATCCCCCAGAGTGATGTGTTGTTGTGGGGTTTTAGTGTGTGATGAACTAGTAGAGGCTAGTGGGAGGATCGCTCTGTAGTTAGTGAAGCAATCCCAGCTTATATCTTCCCTGTAGCACTAGCTGTTGAAGTATCACCTGGCACTCTTTCTCAGGCAGGAAATACAACAATAATCTTGGTGCAGCTATCGGATGTTTATGACCCTAGCTTGATTGCATGTCTGAGTCTGTTTTCATGCATGACTCTCCAAACAACTGATTTGATTTGGTTGTGTCTGTTTGTTGTATTTCAATTTATTCAGATGTTTTTTTATCTGTTCTAAAACACATGTATTTGTGTCTGTGTGATTCACTTGGTTGAGATGAAACAACCCAGCATCCCCCCTGTCTGTGATGTCTGTTCAGTGAACACATCAGTTTGCAGTCGTTGGGTTCAATGCGCACTCTGTGAGCTCTGAAGGGTGCTGTAAAGGTCTAATATGTAACATTTTCCACATTAATGTCTGAACACAAATAGATGTACATTATAGAGTTACGTTATTTTATTTAAGTATTTAAGAAATCTGTGCTTTTAAGTGAAGGTGAGCATTTTATCTAGTAAAACCTGCAAAAGCTACACATCCCCTTTGTGCATCTGTAAGCGTTTGTCAAAATGTGTCTTTTCATCCACTTTTGGGTCACATTTTTACATTACACTTTTTTGATCTCGGTTGATTTCCCACATTTAGTTTCACTGGATAAAGGATTTTAGTAATAGGTTGTCCTTGATTTTAAGTTATCAGAGGAAACAAGCTAGGCTAACATTAGCTTTTGGCTCAGAACCCTTCTGCCCTTTCTCCACTGGGACAAAATAAATGTTTACATAAAAAAACTGCTTAATTTAGTGTTTTTACTTTTGCTGACAATTTAGCTCACGTTACAAATATGTCCTGAAAGTCTGGGTCCTACGTTATCAGAGAAACAAGCTAGGCAAACATGTGCGGTTAGCAAATTCTCACAGATTCATACAGGTGTTTACGACAAAAATAAACTCTTATCAACTCATACTATTAGCTTATTGAAGGGCCATTTGTAGGATCCTTTTGGAGGTCCATCATTCATTTATCTAATTTAATCATTAATCATTCAACTATTCTTTTTGCACACTCCATCATTTTGTAAGGTTCAATCACTGATTATAAAAAGATCCTGTTTTGAACCCGTTTCTACAGGCGAAGACAGAGGAGCAGCTTACGGCAGAGACAGCCTGGTACAACAAAGAGAAAGTATGGCTGGTCCACAAAGATGGATTTTCTATTGGTCAGTAAAAACTTCAGCATTTAAGTATCAGTATCATTTATATATATTAGAATCTTTAAATAATTCTCTCACTTTGCTGTTAGTTCGGTTTTCTGGCTGATTTTGACAAAATGTAATCAGACTGTACAGTATGTAATTAGATTTAGTGTGGTTCTTGTTCAGTTTTAATTAGGCTTTTAAATTATTAAAAGAGATCACACATCATCAGACATGTAAGAAAAGACAAAGCCATTTCACCCAGGTTGAGATCATATGTCATGATGAATTAACTCCACTCTCTTTGGCTGTGCAGCGACTCTCCTGAAGGCGAAGGCAGGCAGTCTGCCAGAGGGGAAGGTGAAAATCCGCCTGGAGAGTGATGGATCTTTATTGGATGTGGATGAAGACGACGTAGAAAAAGTATTTAATCATCAAATCAACTCTAAACCACATCAATTACAGATGACACAGGGCGAAAACTTAACCGCTTTGACTTTGACTTTGAACTCCAGGCTAACCCTCCGATGTTTGACCGAGTGGAGGACCTGGCCTCTCTGCAGTATTTGAACGAGTCGAGCGTGATGCACTCGCTGAGGCAGCGGTACGGCGGTAACCTGGTGCACACCCACTCTGGGCCCAACATGGTGGTCGTCAACCCCATCTGCGCCCCCTCCATGTACTCGGAGAAGGTAGGCTGCATCTGTTCATATATTCTATTTTGTCCTCCTCTCCTTCACTGTTTCTTCATCTTCTCTCCAGGTGATGCAGATGTTCAAGGGCTGCAGAAGGGAGGACACGGCCCCTCACATTTACAGCATGGCCCAGGCTGCCTATAGGAACCTCCTCACCACTCGCCAGGATCAGTCCATTGTCCTGCTGGGCAAGAGTGGTAGTGGAAAGACCACCAACTGTCAACACATCATCCAATACCTGATCAGTGTCGCCGGCAGCACCAACAAAACATTCTCCTGTAGGTTGGAAAGGACTACATTTGGAAATAATTTGACTTTTATGGTTGTGGTTAGGCTTGTCACGATAAATACTTTTGTTAGAGGATACATTAGAGGATAATAGCAATAGCATATTAATGCAAGTTTACATTTCCAAAGAGCAACACATTTTGGAATTGTAATGGGAAAAGATATAAAAAAACCACTTTATAATGTTGATACATCTTACTCCATTACACGGAAATGTCCAATTCTTAGAATGAAAGTGATAACCTTTCAGTTTTTTCTATCATGATCTTGGCTATAATATAAAAATAAGTAGGCACATTTTATCGAAGTCATGTGTATGTACATAGCACAACAACTCTGTAGCGTTATAATCGTGACAGGCCTTCATGCTGTTGCTGATGTATTAAATGACTGTATTTTCTCCATGTTGTCTGTAGCAGAGAAATGGCAGGCCGTCTACACAGTTTTGGAGGCATTTGGGAACGCCTCCACCTGTATGAATGGGAATGCTAGTCGCTTCTCCCATATTGTTTCCTTGGACTTTGACCAGGCAGGCCTGGTAACATCAGCCTCTATCCAGGTACAAATAGCCTCTGAAGGTCCACATAATTATGCAAATTTCACTGTGTGTGCTGTGTGCTCTGCATGTGTGACCATTAAAGAGGGTTTCATCCCTCCCTCCCAATTCTATTCTATTCTATGTTGCATTTCACTGCTGTATATGTTGAATGGTTGTGGCTTTTTTAAAATACTTCTCATGTGGGTAGTTTAATGTTCTGCAAGTCATCACTAGACAGGAAGGGGATGAGAAACTGGACTGAAAAAACTGAAACATTGACTTTAATTTAGTGGGAATAATGACACAGCATTCCAACTATCTGTTATGCTACGCACAAAATTCTTTATTATTCCGCTGGGTTATTTTGCGCCTCTTCTTCTCCCACATTGAACATCGCAGAAACTCCGTTCAAACATCAAAACGTTCAGCTCGGTCGGGAATCGATGGCTATTACTTTTATAATTCATAACTTTCATAATTCCAGAGATACATCCCATAATTCATCAAATTTTTAACATGGAAGTCAATGGAGAAACTCTTCAGACTTCAACAATCTTCATGCAACTTCAACTGCTAACTGCTCCTTCTTCAACTGCTAACTGCTCCTTCTTCAACTACTAACTGCTCCTTCATACTTTCACTCAGAAACCTCATTCCAACTTTAAAATGTTACACATCTTTCTTATATTATTCGTGTAACACAACTTTTAAATCTGATTCTTACTCAGTGGCGGCTGGTGGAAAATATTTTAGGTGGGGCTGTGGAAATGGTGACCAAACAATACTAGGGGGGTCCGGGGGGTAACATTTTTTGAGAAAAGACCCCTTAAATTATGACTTCTGGTGATGTTAGAGGGGGGGGGGGGGGGGAAAGGACAAATTGAGGCTTAAAAATATGAGAAAACTGATCAATACCTCCATAATCTTCAGTGTGGTTAGCTATGAATCTTCCAAAACTTCCAAACACCTTGTCCTGGACATAGTTTCTACAGTATAAAATGTGCAACAGTACAGTAGGCCCACACAAACTGCAGAACACCGGGGCTTTGGGAACACTCAAAATTACTTAACATGATTTAATTCCCATTTAACCTGTTAAGGGGCTTTTTTCCCCCGTTTTTTTTTTCACGAAACTGTGTCTCAGGGCTTCTTAAAATGTAATAAACTATTCATGTGTCCTACTCATTTAACGGGAAGAAACTCAGCTAACTGATGATATGAACCATGTTTACCGAAACAAAACACAAGTCTCACAAGAAGCGTCTAAATGAGCCCTGAGCGAAAAAATGCTAACGCACTCTAGGTATAAATCAATCGATATACTTATCGGATATGCACAAACAAGCTTAGCTAACAAGCTGAGATTCCACAGATTCTAGAAAAATAAGTATCATCACTGAGCGATTTAACTCGCGACAGGGGAAGCAAATACAGACATCACACGACATAGCTTTAGGTAGCAAAACACGGAGATATGCTCACCTTTTGCTGTTATTCTGATCAAAAACGAGAAAAACGCGACTGAAGGTTAATCCATAGGTTAATCCAATGTGTCTGTCACTGATAATCCATAATTCCATTTTTATGTCAAAAACAGAGTTTTCATATTAGCTGCTAATGATAGCTTCCAGAGTGTATGACAGCTTCCTGTTTTGTCTCCTTGGTTACGAGTCCAAAAAACTCACAGACTGCACCGGGCACTGACGTAGGCGCCCTGTGACCATCAGATTTGACGACGCTGATTGGCTGAAATTATGTTTCGGCGGCATAGTTTAAAGATAGCAACAGTTGGCTTCTGCTGCACTTGCTGCACTCTCGTCTGGGCGCTGTGCATAGCGCCCAGACGAGAGATTGGACAGATTTCATTTTGCCTTCATATTTTCTTTTAAACCTGCAATAATTCCCAAATCCTACATTCCTGAGACATAATTTTTCATGAAAAACGTAAGAAAAACATCTCATAGCTTGAAAGATTAAAAAAAATTAAGCAAAATAATTAAACAAAATGCCTCTTGAGGGCATGAAGTGACAAAAACGTTCAACATGTCTCCATTAAACCCCATTGTAAGTTCAGCCTCATCTTTCCCCACCACAGCAGCCACACACCTTTAGTTAATCTGCCAAAAAGGCCACATTATTAACCCAAAAGTACACAAAAAGTACACTTCAGATGCTCAAGTTCCTTGACATGCTTCACGCTTTGAAACTTCACCGATATCTGTTACGGTTTTTCAACAAAACGTTCACATGTAAGAGGTTTATCTCTCATTCAGAACAATGAAAATGCTCTCCTCTCACTGATCACCATGGAAACCTTTGATCTCTGGACACGTCATTAGCTCAAATATAAACACCTGTGTCATGGAACACGATTATTATTACATTATTATTATTATTATTATTACATGTCACTTGTTAGCAGTGTTGTGCTAGTTACTGAAAACCAGTAACTAGTTACCATTACTAGTTACGTCATGTCAAAAGTAACTCAGTTACTTTACTAGTTACTTACACCCAAAAGTAATGCGTTACTGTGAAAAGTAACGTTTTCGTTACTTGAAAACATTTCTCCCATTAATGCCCTTATAGCCTTCCTTTCAGTACTGTTATTGCATTGGAGAATAATACAATCTGTTGATCAACTTGACATGCATTATATGCAATCTGGATTGCATCGATATTAGCTGGCTTTCCATTTTTGTATATTCTTTCTCCAGGTAGTTGGAAAAAGTGTTCCGTCCCATATGCCGTGTGCCGCCCGGACATGCTATCATGCTAACTAGCTCCCTGAAAGCGGGTGACTCCACTGTAGCAATAGCCTGCATGTGTTCTACAACATACCGTGCAATGGCTTTATCGACTTTTCCCTGGCCAGCAGTCCCTTGGTTAAAATCCAGCCGCTGTTGCTTAGGTGGAGGTGGAGTGGCGTTGGATGAGTCTCTGTGGTCTTAGCTACTAGCTTCGTCCCAGCATGTTGTTTTTGCAGATGTTTTAAGAGATTTGAATTACTGGTTTTGGGCAGTAGATAGGATCTTTGACCCGCCAAGACACAACTTACATTTAACTAAAACGTTCTTTTCTTTGTGCTCGACAAAAGTGAAATAGTGAGAATATCTCCAGGTGGAGAAACTAGACTTGAGCTCCGCCGCCGCCATGATAGTCTTGTTAGTAAACAACACAAACACGCCCACAGCGCGTCTCCGCATGTGACACAGGAAGTATCAAAGTACATTTACTCAAGTACTGTACTTAAGTACAGTTCTCATCTCTGTTCGCCTGGCTGTTGACTATATAAAAAAACTAACGCAGTAACGGAGTAACGCACCATGTAGTAACGGTAACTGAGTTACTTAATTAAAAAAAGTAATGCGTTAGCGTACTAGTTACTGCCAAAAGTAACGGTGTTACAGTAACGCGTTACTTGTAACGCGTTAGTCCTAACACTGCTTGTTAGACGCTTTTATCCAAAGCGACTTACATACTCAATACTGTGGGCAATCCCCACAGGAGCAATTTGGGTCTTGCCCAGGGACACAACAACATGCTGACTGCAGTGGGGTTTGAACCTGTGACCTCCTGATCCGAATACCAACTCACAACCCAATGATGATAAGTCATAACTCCAATTGACATAATTAGAGCAGCAGACTAATGACGTGGTCACTGGAGTTTAACAGACTGTCTCAGCCTATTATTTTCCATCTGATGGAGACTTCATACTGACTTTAACATGTTCCACATATTTTAGACATTATTGGTGACGTATGCTTTTAGTTCTAAAGTTTTCAGTTCAAATATTCTGCTGCTTTTTAATGCATTTAGACTTTTACTTTCTTGTTCTTATTTCACATTCAAGTCCCCTCTATTCATGAACCCTTTAAAGTACTCAGCCACACCACTTATATACCACGTGTGACTGTTGCTATGTGAGTTAATATTTCAAATACGAGGTTGCTTGTTTGATTCAAGCTCTTGTAGTCAATATGTCAAGGTATTTATCCCTAACATTTGATCAGCTCACTAATGAAACACACTCAGAGGATCTTTATACATGTTTTAAGTATTGCATCTAGTATTACATCTTTAAACATGACTCTTATAAATCACTTTTAAAACCAGCGATGCACTACAGTGTCAGCTTTTCTAAAATAGAAACTTCAATGTTCACATCTTTCTAAATGATTCTACTTTTCAATGACCTACAAATAATCCTAATAATAAATTAGGTTAAAATGTTAACATAGGTTCAGGAGCATGGCCACGCCTAAAACTCCACCTCGAACCACGGCCACCCCTATTTATATCCGGCAAAACTTCCGGCCACTGCTCGTCTCCATCCTTTCAAGGATCGACAGGCAGACCGTGATTCACGCCGCGCGTCGTCACGGTTCAAACAAACTAAAACGCTACCACGAGAACATTTGACTCACCATGGATCCCGAACTGCTGATCAACTCAACGGAGTCAGACGAAGATCTCTCCGACATCGGCTACCCGCCATCCACGTTTCAGCAGGTGGATCTAAGCCAAGCATCCGAACGGAGCCGCGTGCGCTCGGCAATCAGTGTCCCACACACCAGCCGCCACCGCTCCCACTCAAGCTCCCCCAACGAGATACCTCCAACTCCAGACAGGTCCCAGGCTTCGTCTACTCCGCCAGCGAGGGCAAACAACCGGGGCCACAACAGGCACAGCCAGCTCCAATCTCCCCACCAACGGCAGCCTGCCTCATTAGCAGCCCCCGGCCACTCGCAGCGGCGCACTCAAGATGCCTCTCGGACGGAGCCGCGCTCCGAAACGGAGCCCGAACTCAGGAGGTGGACAGTCATTCAACTCCAACGTTTCCTGAAAGAAAACGTCATCCACTTTCACCGAAATGACAACAAGGCTAGACTGTTCAACCTCTACAAAGCCTACAGCAGCACAACGGCAAGAACAACGACACACACAGCTCTTCCTGCTCCAGAGCCAATCACCGCGCGGCGCGCGCGCACCACGGGTCGTGACGTCACAGGCCTCCGTCCTCCTCCTCGGACACAGCCCGACTCACCAGTACCCCCTGGTGGGGGCCAGGTCGTATTGCCCTCTGCCTGCTCTCTCTGTGTCTGACATGTCGCAGCTCATGCCAACCTTTCTCTCATCCAGAGTTGGGTGTAACGCGTTACAAAGCGTTACTGTAATAATATTACTTTTGTCGGTAACGGAGTAGTGTAACACGCTACTTTATAATTCAGTAATCACACTACAGTTACTAACATTGCCCCGACACGCGTTACTTCGTTACTTACTAAAATCAGTCATAATCAAACCTCAACAAACACCTGCAAAGAACACATGCTAAGGTGAAGCTCACGCACAGCTATTTGTTATTCTGAACTAAAGAGAACATTTGAAACTTTAGCAGTCTGTGCGATCTGCCCGCAGGGAGGGGCGGGCAGGCCCTGCGAGTAAAGTAACGAGTAAAGTAACGAGTTAACTTATGTAGAGAGTAACGAAGTAGTGTAATATATTACTTTTTTTAAAGTAATATGTAATATGTAATATATTACTTTTTTTAGTAACAACCCCATCTCTGCTCTCATCCCCGCGCTCACAGGCTTCACAAAATCCCCTTGCACATACATCCCTTCATCCCTCCATCCCTCATCCCTACATCCCTCATCCCTTCATCCCTCATCCCTCCATCCCTCATCCCTACATCCCAACATCCCTCCATCCCTCATCCCTACATCCCTCATCCCTTCATCCCTCATCCCTACATCCCTCATCCCTTCATCCCTCATATCTTCATCCCTACATCCCTTCATCCCTCATCCCTTCATCCCTCATCCCTTCATCCCAACATCCCTCATCCCTACATCCCTCATCCCTACATCCCTCATCCCTTCATCCCTTCATCCCTACATCCCTCATCCCTCCATCCCTCATCCCTACATCCCTCATCCCTACATCCCTCATCCCCCCATCCCTCATCCCTTCATCCCAACATCCCTTCATCCCAACATCCCTCATCCCTTCATCCCAACATCCCTTCATCCCAACATCCCTCATCCCTTCATCCCAATATCCCTCATCCCTTCATCCCTACATCCCTCATCCCTTCATCCCTTCATCCCTCATGCCTTCATCCCAACACCCCCCATCCCTGCCCCATCCCTTCCCCAACACCCAAATATTTTCCTCCCCGTGCAACCAGCTACACTCTAGCCACAGCAACACCACCCATCCGCTCTCCGTGTCTCTCTCTCTCTGACCCTCGCAGTGAGCAGACGCTCCGGTCTCTCCCTCTCTGACCCTCGCAGTGAGCAGATGCTCCGGTCTCTCCCTCTCTGACCCTCGCAGTGAGCAGACGCTCCGGTCTCTCTCTCTCTGACCCTCGCAGTGAGCAGATGCTCCGGTCTCTCCCTCTCTGACCCTCGCAGCGAGCAGACGCTCCGGTCTCTCCCTCTCTGACCCTCGCAGCGAGCAGACGCTCCGGTCTCTCCCTATCTGACCCTCGCAGCGAGCAGACGCTCCGGTCTCTCCCTATCTGACCCTCGCAGTGAGCAGACGCTCCGGTCCCTCTCTCTCTGACCCTCGCAGCGAGCAGACGCTCCGGTCTCTCTCTCTCTGACCCTCGCAGCGAGCAGACGCTCCGGTCTCTCCCTCTCTGATCCTCGCAGCGAGCAGACGCTCCGGTCTCTCCCTCTCTGATCCTCGCAGCGAGCAGACGCTCCGGTCTCTCTCTCTCTGGTCCTCGCAGCGAGCAGACGCTCCGGTCTCTCTCTCCCTGACCCTCGCAGCGAGCAGACGCTCCGGTCTCTCTCTCTCTGACCCTCGCTGTGAGCAGACGCTCCAATCTCTCCCTTAGGAAAAATAATAAAAAGCCGCATCAAGCAGTTCAACCAGGGAACATACCGGGGCGCTCCGGACTCCGAGCGTTACTGCCGCATCTTCGCAGCACGCGCATCCCTCTCTTACCAATTATGCGAGCCCCCTCCCACCCGGCCTCAGCATGCTTAGTCAGCACTCCACCATCTCAAACACCTCACTCATTTTCCTCTCTATCATGCAACGCCTCAGACTTTAACCGTCTATCACCCGCAGGGAGGCAGGATGGTGCGTAATAACTTCAATGAACTAGGCTGCTTTCTCTCTAACTGCCGCCTAATTCACATCTGCTCGTTCCGCGGCGTCGCTCATATCAGGAGCACCCGCCCACACAACCCAACTTAACATTTACGGCATAAACGTATTTTCCCTTAGAGTGTAACGGAGGCCTGGTGCTGGGCAAACCGCACGCGCATCATTCTAACTCCTTAAGGTAATGTTTAGCTGGATTTAGAAGTGAAGATGTAGTCATTCGTTCCGGGCATGTTATTTTCAAGCCACATGTTTCTGGTCCAGAAACACTTTCAGAACATCCCGCACATTTTGGGGGCATCCTCAGAACATTATTAGAGCCATTTCTCCCGCATTGGCGCAGCGTCCACAGCAGCTAGACCGGGTATCTCTTATCCAACCATCTAGGCCCTCGGCCGCTCGTCATCCCAAGCGTATCACGCTTACATCCGCAACAATCTCAATGACCTCAGACACGCACACGCTTAAGTCAGCTGCTTTAATTCGACTCTTTTGGGGGCCCGTAATCAGCCCACGCAGATCATGCCGGAGACGGAACCCCCACTCTGAGTCTCCCACTGCACGGACCATAGCTCGTCCTCCCAGATCATCCATTCACCCCCCTCATATCATTCACATGTTACTTCAATAAACGTACAAACGTCACATTGTTGTGGCGTGGTTCCTGCTAGTGAAATTAGGTTAAAATGTTAACATAGGTTCAGGAGCATGGCCACGCCTAAAACTCCACCTCGAACCATGGCCACCCCTATTTATATCCGGCAAAACTTCCGGCCACTGCTCGTCTCCATCCTTTCAACCCACCCTCCCTCTCCCTTTCTACCCATACAGTTCCCCTTCCGACTCACACCGAGCGATACATCCGTCACATCCTCTGCCTGTCACCATTTATATTTAAACGGTGCATGTTTATATACTGCGTATACTAACACCTTAATTCCAGGTACCGTCTGGGGGGCCCGTAATCAGCCCACGCAGATCATGCCGGAGACGGAACCCCCACTCTGAGTTTCCCACTGCACGGACCATAGCTCGTCCTCCCAGATCATCCCTTCACCCCCCTCATATCATTCACATGTTACTTCAATAAACGTACAAACGTCACATTGTTGTGGCGTGGTTCCTGCTAGTGAATCCCATTTTCAATCTTCCAACTGTTCATATTTTTTGGTCAATTAACAAACCTGTTACAAATGTGTTGTTCAACAAATTTGAGCCTTTGCCACATTTATTTGATCACCATGGAAACCTTTGATCTCTGGACACATCGTTAGCTCAAATATAAACACTTGTGTCATGGAACACGATGATGTCATCACTCCAACTGACATGCTCAGAGCTCAAACTTCACATGTGTGCTAACAGTCCAGCCGTGAAGACATCTACGGGACAGTTTTGAGATTTCTTCAAATGCCGTTGCCATGGCAACACAATGCTCGCCGTAAAACACGGTTTTCTCATAACTTCAGTGAAAATGCTCCAAATGGCCCAAAACTTCACAGGTTTGGTAACGATGCAGCCATCAACGCATCTAAGCGTATTATGGGATGTCATCAAATGCCGTTGGCATGGCGACAGATCATTCACCATCAAGTTAGTTCAAAAGTTTGCAGTTCAAATATTCTGCTGCTTTTCCAAGCCTTTTTACTTTATTTTCTTCTCTCATCACACATTCAAGTCCCCAGTGTTCATGTATAATTTCAATCTAAATTCTTCACTTTCTTCTTACACATTACATTTCAGCATAGCAGTTTAGCGTCAGCTTTTCAGCATAAAGCATTCCCACTAGCAATTTCTTCAGGAATTGCATTCTCTAGTTAAGTGTATTATGTCAACATATTTCACATAACTATTAGGTTAGTTGAAAGCAATGATATTAAGTTAAGTTATTAAAGTCAACGTTCCAGTTTTTTCAGTGTTTGATCGGAAGAGTTTTACAAGCTGTTTGACAAATGTAGTGAACGTACAATATTTGCTTCAGATATAATAAAAAGTAGCAGAAAATGAGAAAAAAAAAAGTTGAAGTAGCATTTATTGGTACTGAAGTGTAATAATTGTACTTAAGGATGTGTCATGAACAAATATAGATGTTCTCCAAACACTTTCTTATTATGCTTACTTGTGCTGCCTTTATAAACTGTTGTTTTCTATCATGCTAATATCCTGTCCTGCTGTTGCTTTGCAGACCATGCTCCTGGAGAAGATGAGAGTGACCAGACGACCAGAAGGAGAGTCCACTTTTAACGTCTTTTATTACCTGATGGCTGGAGTGGACAGCTCTCTTAGGTCAGAATAATTACTTTAATCAATGCACAGTGAAATTAATTTCTGCACTGGATTTTTACATTTCAATTTTATATACTGTATGTATGCTTCCCTTATTCTTTTACTATAGGCTATAGTTGTCATTATAGATTTTGATTACTTGTGTTTTCTTTCATCTTCATCAGAACTGAGCTGCACATGAATCACTTTGCTGAAAACAATATGTTCGGAATCATGCCTCAGACCAAGGTAAATGCTGCTGGTTAATGGAATGTTGGCCTGTTTACCACCAGAAATGGAAAAAAAGGATTACTTCAGCTGAATGTTTACGTCCTGCAGATATAACTGGCTGTACCAACAATTTATATAAGAGCTCGGTCCCTGCTCCTGCTGGTAATAATGCCACTCACCTACTTGTGGCACAGCAGCGTGTTATTATAATGCATCACAGGAATGAACAAAATACCAAATAATTGGTCTCTTGTCATCACTGAAAAGAACGTTACTAGGAGAGCGCGGACCTGCATTCACACGCTTTTACAACGTACCCTTTCCCCCGAGTTGTTACCGACTTTCTGACTGTGTCTTCATGAGCTTTAAATTTTAAAGTGTAAACATAATGGATGCTACAAAGAAAATGTCTTGCTCAGTATGTTTAAACATCACTTAGATAGCTGTTTCCAAGTGGCCATGCACGTGATTTTTCTTTAGGGATCATTTATACACCACATTAATACAGCACCAATGTCCTATAAATAGATATCAGAATTTGTGTGAAAGTGTGTGTTAAAAGATTGCGCTCTCTCAACACACTGAAAAAACGGAAACGTTGACTTTAATTAAATGTATTATGTCAACAAATTTCACACAACTGTATTAGGTTAGTTGAAAGCAATAATATTAAGTTCAACCTATATACAGCGCTGGAAAGAATTAAGAGACCAATCTACATTTTTCGCAAATCTTTACATGTATGGCAGCCCTTCCATTCCAGTGTCTGTTGAACTCCAACACATAAAATAAAATAAAAACATTTAAATGTTACTCAACCACATACCTATAATAAAACCAGAGAAACTGATAATGCTGCATGGTCTCTTCATTCTTTCCAGAGCTGTATTTTAAACATTACGTAATATTACTGCTTCCAACTGACCTAATCCCTGATATCCAACAACTACTGTATGTTGAACCGACATTTGCCCCTGAACCTTTACTTGCAATATGATAAGTCTGTGAACCTCTTATTATTACTTCAAGACATCTTAAAGAGGAGTTTTTCTCACTTATTGCTCTAAAAGGAATTTTATCTGAATATAAATGTTGTTTTCCACCAGACTGAAGATAAGCAGCGGGCCTCGCAGCAGTTCTCCAAGCTGCAGGCAGCCATGAAGGTTCTGGGGATCAGCGGAGACGAGCAGAGGGCCTTCTGGCTCGTCCTGGGGGCCATCTACCACCTCGGGTCTGCAGGAGCTACTAAGGGTAAGATTTCTCACTTCATTTTCCTTTCTATAGATGCATCACTTGTTGTATTAATAATGTTTTTTGAGAATAAACCTTGTATTTGTTCATGTTAAAAAAACAAAAATGGCTAGAAATGAGCCTTACTATCCAAAAAAAGCCCAGCCCTTATTATCCCCCTGCAGTGGCGGCCGGCCCATAGGGGCCCCACCTCTTCCCACATACAAAATAAAACATTTTTTTTATTTTTTTTTATTTTTAATAAACAAGGTAAATATTATATAATTGGTATCAGTAAAATGTATTATCTACAATAAAATCTCGTTTAAAATTGTGTTACGACATGTTTCCTGCCTGGCCTTGCTCATGTGTCATTACCTTTAATATATACAGTCTATGGTCATTACCCTCTCTCGTCTGGGCGGTAAGAAAGGAGCCCTCAACCAGTGCAGCAGCAGCCACTAGCAGCTGACTGTTGCTATCTGTAAACTATGATGCCGAAACATAATTTCAACCAATCAGCGTCGTCAAATCTGATGATCACCGGGCGCCAATGTCAGCGCCCGGTCCAGTCTGTGAGTAGTTTGGACACTAGTGACTCGTATCCGGTGGGGTGACGCAGTACGGCAGTAGTTGATGAGGATGGCTTCATGTGCAGGTGGAGTCTCCGGACCTCGGTCCCCGCCCAATTCTGTTCAAGAGCTAATCTCCAATCCTTTCGAAAGGAGAAGTTTGGGAGATAAACGGTTGCTTAAAGACCTTGGACCGGACCAACCCGATTTGTATATATCGCAGCAAGCTCGTGAAAAAGACAAAACGTATCAACGAGGCTTTTCACGTAGCTGGTACACCAGAAAGGCATGGCTAGCTGGATGCAAACAGGTAAATGCTGTCTTTTGTTTCCCATGCTTGCTCTTCAAACAGCCGGGGACAGATACGATGTGCCCGTGGACTGTGACGGGGTAAACGATATGAAGTACAAACCACATACTGTCTGTGTCATGGCGAATACAGTCGCTGGTTTATTTATGTCTGTATAGGCCGTTGTTGTGAGTGTGGACGGTCGAAGCATTTACAACGTTAGCTTAGCCAATCTCCATTTAGAAAACACGCATTTTAAAAGGTTTTTCGCCTGCCGTCTGTCTGCAGACTTGTCAAAGCATTAATTCATGGTTTTTACTAACCGGTATCAGTATGTTGTTAATTCGGCATCATTTTGAAACGTGTATTACAATTAAATCACGGTCAAATATGTTCATCTTGTTGTAGTTGTAGCCCCCTTGCCAGCGATTCTCTCTCTAGTTTAGCATACTCAGCCCGACTCAGCCTGGTTGTTCCTGGCCCTAGAACCACGATTTTATGGGGTCAGAAAAACTGTGAATTAGGACCCGCTAGCCGGTACTAGGCCAAGTGGATACGCAACCAAAAACGGGCCCCGCACGGCTCGGCACGCTTAAAGCGAGCTCCGCGCTGCAGTGGAAATGCGCCATTACATCATCAGAAGTCCTAATTTAAGGGGTCATTTCTCCCAAAAAAAAATGTTTTACTCACTATATCAACAGCCCCACCAAAAATATTTTCCACCAGCTGCCACTGTCTCCCTGTACAGATAACACCTTGAGAGTGATGCAAGACAGCTGTAATCCACACAACTGAATTATGCATTTGCACTTGTTGCAGATGTTGCACAGTGAACAGGTGTTGTGCTCTCCTGAACTGATCTACACCTCAAAAATGAAAAGAAAGTTGTATTTGTTATGAAAATATAAAAAATGTCCTGCTCATTAAAGACATCTATGGCGAGGAGGGGGCTATTCATGGTTTTTGCTGCTGTTATTGCTCACAGACAGCATGTGAAGTGATGCATTTCAGTTGTTCCACTCCATCCTCCAAAACAAGCTTTACTAAACGATCAAATAAAATCATCAAAGCATTGCTTCTGCAACAGAAGCTGAAGCCATTCATTGTCTATCCATCAGATGTTGGCCTTACATCTTGACAAACATTTTATCTTGTTAAAAGAATGCATCACTGGACTGATGGGAACAGAATTAACTCTTAAACATGAGGATTTGCTCCTGTCTTTGAAGCTTTTTTGTATAATGAAACCTAATGCAAGAAAGCTTTTTTGTTGTTGCGCTAAAGTAATAAATCTGCCTCCCACAGCGTTTTAATATATGATAGCTGCCTTTTGAAAATACTGTGATAATGCTGTCAAAAAGATTTATATTTTTGGTAAACATAGCTTTTTTCTCAAGTATAAAAAGCCCCTTGCTTAAGAATGTTAAGAAACAATAGTCACATTTTTAAGCAATGTAAGTAAGTAAGTAAAATGTATTTAGTGCTTTTCACAGACAAAGTCACAAAGTGCTTGACAAAACATTAAAACATCATAGGAATCATAAAATAACAAATGACCACACAACCCACGTAATGTAATTGCAACTTGACTTAAAGGCTTTCTGTGTTAGCAGTACACTATACAATAAATCAAAAATGACAAACAACCTAGATATCACAATTTAAATGTATAGCAGCAGTGACTCTGTATGTTGGGCTTTTAATGTTTTGGTCACACTGGACACACTGTAATTGCCAGTCTCTTATACAGAATTGCTTGCCAAATTATTGTCAGTGGTCCCCTCCAGCCGGCTGCCAATCTGTTTCATGGCGATATAACGCCATCCGGGAACAGTTTTAAAATGTTCTGCAATTATTATTGTCCAATGATACAGAACTCAGCTCTGATTAGCAAATGACCGCCTGATTTATGGACTTCAAACTGTTTTCCCCTATTAAAAACACTGTTTATAAGCAATGCATGATAGTATGATGGGATAGAAGTTATGACCAACACATTCATGGCATTTATCATTTGTCTTTCTGCCAAAGGCTGCATTGGATTTACAAACAAAAAACAATTCTCTAATCATATTCTGGACTATTAAAAAGGGGTTTTTCGGTGCCAGGAATGAGTTGATTATCACACACAATATTATGTTCATTGGTAGTGCTTCTTTATTATGTGACACAAGAGGGCAGCACTGGTCTCTAATCCACCAAAACTAATTATAGGGACCGCCTGAATTGAACTTGCATTTCCCTGTATAACATACTGGCAACACTTCTATTAAGTGTATCAAAAAGGCTCATCACACTGTGAGTCTGGATGCTTTTAAGGGCAAATATTATACATAAATATTAAAAAACACAAATCTTTTAAGACTTACAAACTCCTCGAGACAGTGATATCCAGATAAATTGGCAAACCCAATGTCCTCTATTTGATGTATTGCTATTGTGGTGGCGAATGTCTATCAAAGCAAATATTGAAATGTCTGTACTTGTCTTTTTTAACCATCCTGCTTATCATGGTGAAAAATATGAGGGGCTTCTGCAGCGCTGATGAAACAGATAGAGCCCACTGCTCTGTGTGAAATCCCCCAGTTCCCCTCTCAAGTCTTAGAAAATACCACTTCATGGTGGATTAAAACCAACGTTTGCGTTTGTATCGGCATGTTTCCATCACTCAGGCGCAAGATTAAAGAGAAGCTTGTGTTTCCCAACAGAAGTCTTTATGTACATAGAGGAATTGTTTACCTTTATTCTCAAGACAACTAAATGGCTGATTATCAGTTATCACTTCAACTTCATAGACTCCAACATGAAACAGAAGTTGTGAAAGCTAGTGGATATATATTTTCAATTCATAAGCTAAATGTATTCAAGCCAGTTACATTTTAAGCATGCTTTTCTGTGATTGTTGCTCAGGAGGCTGATTGGTTATCCCCCTATGTAAAGCTTGGTGGTTCGATCCCTAGCAGTCATCTTACTGATGCACCCAAATTGCTCCTGATGGTATTGTATTGCACGGTTGCTTCCTAATTTAATGGGTTTCGCTACATCCTTTTTGACCAAGTTTGCTAAAGAAAATCTGATTTTGTATATACATATCAGTGTTGTAGTCAAGTCACCAATTCACAAGTCCAAGTCACTCTCGAGTCACCACTCTTCAAGTCCGAGCCCAAGTCCGAGTCACCAAGGGAGAGTCCGAGTCGAGTCCGAGTCGAGTCCGAGTCGAGTCCGAGTCGAGTCCGAGTCGAGTCCGAGTCGAGTCCGAGTCGAGTCCGAGTCGAGTCCGAGTCATCATTACCTGTGTTCGAGTCCGAGTCCAAGTCCGAGTCACAAGTCTTCATGTATTAATCTTCATGGATATATGTGTTGAAATGTAGCTGCTCCTCTACATTGCTTTTATCCTGTCATGTTATACTAATCTGTCTATTGAACTGCAGTGAAGCGAGTTTGGCTACAATTCTTGTAATAGGTGCTATACAAATATAAAGCTTATTACTAATATTAATATTATTATTATATATAAATAAACTATATTTAAAATGAGTTACCTTTTAGAGAAGTGATTATATTTGTATGCCAATATTTTCGTTTTGCACTTTTATTTTGATAGTATTAAGATCGGGACTCTTATTTTGAAGGAACTTTTACCGGTTAAATCGGTTTACTGATAAAGATTTAGCCCCAGAAAGCACATGGCTATGCACATGTGCATGCAAAATGACGTCATTCTGCATGTTAAGTAGCCATGTGCTTTCGTGTTATGGCTTAATCTTTATTTATTGATTAGATCAGTTACTCTGATGATAGTGTTCAAGACAGCCTATATGTCTTAACTCGATCCTTAGAGTAATGTGTTACGGAGCCTTCTCTTCAATATTGTTTCCACATAACGAGCATTTTGTGCTGCTCTTTTCCAATGTGGAAGCAGAATGTGGGAAAGCATACAGCACGATGCGGGGTGTGTCTCTACTCTCTAGACATCTTTAGACTGGAATAGCGGGGTAGTACGTGTAATAGTACGTGAACTCGCCTCGCAGGTGCACACGCCAGGATAGAGGACATCAGACTCCAGAGAAAATTTGCTCGAGTCCAAGTCGGAGCGTCAATGTACGAGTCGAGTCAGAGTCATTGTGGGGGGCATGCCAGGCGCCGTGGGAGGGCCGGGCCCTCCCATTTGACATTCCTGCCCTCCCCCAATAAACACGATTTGTATTATTTATACAAATTAAAAGATATTTTATTTTTTAAATTATAAATAAACTGTGAACTTTTATGCTACGATGTATGTGATGTCAGATAGTAACTAAAACAAAAAAAATCGCAGGCTACGTCAAATAAATTCATGTATCAGTTGTGATTTGTGATTCGTCCACATTTAGACCAATCACAGCGTCACACTCTGCCGCCTATTCTGGATTTGTTTATTGTTTATAGTGCATTCTGTAGACTCCCATTTATGTTTGAATTACAAAATGGACATCAGAAATTGGCTTACAATATGGGCTCAGAACAGTCTCATAATACACACAATGCACACAGAAGGATTCACACTTGTATTTCATGATCCGCAAAAGGATTCAAACTTGTATTTCCGGATCCATTTGTGTTTTTCAATGCACACACAAATGTGTTCCGTTTCATATACATGTAAATAAAATACAAATACAAAAAAAAGTTTTACATATGTATTTTTGATCCTCACATATTTGTTTTCCGTTTAAAATCCTCTGAACCTGCAAACACAAACAGCTTCCTGTGCACGGATCGCTGTGCATTCGTGTGTGGATTTTTTGAGACTCTCCTGACGGTCCGCCGATTCGTACTTGTTATTGTTTCTATCTATAGCCAATCAGATGTCTCCTCAATTCTAAGCCAATCACATGAGCGCGCCCCCACGAGGGTAGATTTCTTGCGTTCATGACGTAGCGCTTAATATACGCATTTTGCGCAGTCCGGTCAGCTCGCTAAACAGAGGGCGGAGCATCAGGTGATCATGCAGAGCTGCGAGTCTCCGTCAGACTCAACAGCTGATCTGATCTCTCTCTCTCTCACGTCCAGTTATAATACTTCATTCGCGTTTGTTACCTTTTTACTAACGGTATCTCGGCACCGAAACCGTAGTTTCGAATACACACCGGTGGTTTCTGACTTGGCTCGTTGTCAGCCGGTAACCAGCTGCCCAGACATTTCGAGGGGAAAAGGGATGCAAACGGGGCGTTCGGGTGCCGTGGGAAGAACCTCTGTTTATTCACGTTCTTCAGACTAATCAGTTACATTGACACTGTATTGCATAGGCCTACATACAGACTAGTTACTTTTCCCGTTCTGACCACTTTCTCTATACTTTCGTCTCTCTCTTCATAACTCCGCACTTCGCCTTGGCCATCATCACATTTTACACACACACACTCCAAAAACCCACAACCCCTTGCGGCTGCTACTCTTAGTGACAGGCCAAGCCTGTAACACGTTTATGTCCATATCGATCAGATCCAGCTCTCCTGATCGGCCTGTATAGAGAGCACCGATCAAACTATTAAGAGTGAATATCGGCCGACAATGACCGGCGGGGCTCATGTACGCAAAATGCGTACATGAAGCGCAGTGGTGTTTTTATATGTACAAAAGTGGTGGGGCACAACAAACTTAGATGTCTATAAGCTTCTGCAGTGAGGTTCATGGCTGCTGAGGCACTGGTACTGACTCTTCAGGTTTACAAATATTATATTTTGACCTAAATCAAAATATAATATTATTTTCAAAAGCTTTTTTTGTCTGATGCTTCAATTAATTTTAAACAGACAGTTCAACCTTAGGATACCCAACAAATGTAATTTTATCATTTAAATATTGAATTGTTCTCTCTTAGTAAGATCCCATTTTCAATAAAATTGCAGTCTTACCTTGACTTGAAGATTAAGTCCATTTGCCTATCCTTCTGGACAAAAATCTCTATTACTTTTTTGTAAAAGTCCTCCTTTATGTTCTTGTAGTTTCAAAAGTCTATCATAAATCTAATCTAATCAATAGATTTATGATTCGAAAATTATAAAAGTAGGATAGACATGTGGATATTATCCGGCTGAACAAAACGTGCATTTATCTAACAGGTTTGTTTCCCACAGATCTTATTTGGAGCTATTTTCTAAAATCCTATGGAGAAATATCATTGCTTTTTTGTCGAGGGAAGCCATTGGCAGCTTACTTCCGGGTTTTAGGACGCGTCACTGCAGCTCTCTCGTCTCCTCTTCACACACCACACTTTTCGCGGCACACGTACTTACAGCCAATCAGCTCTGAATTATGTGAGATGACGTATGGTGGGGATGGCAGCTCAGTGCCCCTATGGTCATTATTTTTTTTGCCACACACATTAAATAGGAAAATATTCTGAGCATGTGCAGTGTAGTTTTTACAGTCACCATTGACTTAGAAAGTAAGAGGGAGGGGCAGGATCGGGTTTTGTCCCACATGGCTCTAAACAGCTCAATAGGCACACACTGTAGACACTAATTCGAAGAACACAGACTAAAACAACAATGTACAGACGAATCAGATGATTAAACATGATCTTAAAATATATTTAATATATTTTTTAATTTATTTTTTGCATTTTTTTGTAATCATTATTTGTAATACTTTCTGCTGACACTAGGTGGGGCTGTGCCCCACCTGCCCCTAATGACTGATGAAGCGCTACCTCATGAACGCAAGAAATCTACCCTCGTGGGGGCGCGCTCATGTGATTGGCTTAGAATTGAGGAGACATCTGATTGGCTATAGATAGAAACAATTACAAGTACGAATCGGCGGACCGTCAGGAGAGTCTCAAAAAACCCACACACGAATGCACAGCGATCCGTGCACAGGAAGCTGTTTGTGTTTGCAGGTTCAGAGGTTTTAAACGGAAAACAAATATGTGAGGATCAAAAATACATATGTAAAACCTTTTTCTGTATTTGGATTTTATTTACATGTATATGAAACGGAACACATTTGTGGGTGCATTGAAAAACGAAATAGCAATGAAAGAACTGCAGCCGATTGTTATGAACCGAGACACAGGACGCAGGACCCAAAAGCAGGACTCGGAGACAGTTGTCCAAAAATAGAATGTTCTTTAATAACAAAAACTAAATCGTACTTTCAAAAAATAGAAAGTAGTTAAACAGCCAAAACTAAGTTGTACAGCAACACAAAAACTCACTTGGCAAAAGGTCTAAATCGCAAGGTACTGTAGGTATCAGGAGTCAAAAGGCCTAGGTGCTCACGACATGAAACATAACGAACTGACAAAGGAACAAAGAAACACCAGGGCTATATATAGGTGAGGGGGATGGGCACAGGTGAAAACAATCAGGGCAGGGCCAGGCAATCTCACGGGCGGGAAACACACAAAGGCAGGAACTGTGGGATCTGGAATGACAGGAAAGATTACTTTCAAAATAAAAACAGGAAGTGACAAGATCAAAATACAAAACTAGAGTAAAAACATAACTAAACCTAGCATATCTGTCGAGTCACAACACCGATGGTGCTGCTGGCGACCCTGCACCTGCAGTTGCAGCAGCACGCCTTACGGCCCGTCCACACAGCGGCTTTGGAAAAAGCTTGCCGGCGGGCGTGTCTGAAGCTCGACCAACAACCAATCACATGAATCTCCCGCCCCTGACACACAAGCAGCGGTTTGATTGGCTAGAGCTTGTACTGGCACATGATTTGATTGGCTCACATCAACAGGTACTATTGGGCCAGCAACCGCTCAAAGACCAACAGCCCCAGATGATCTTGGGGTTAATAAACCCAACCAGGTGAAACTGGATCGTTTTCCAGGGAGATTGTTTTCAGGAAAAAAGCGCACTTTTGCCGCTGCATGGTACAACAACAGACCATGGCTTGAAGATTCGTTAAAAGCAGACGCAGCCTTTTGTTTCCCCTGTAGACAGTTTAAAGTCAATACGTCTTCATCTGATGCAGCTTTTACTGTCAAAGGTTTTTGTGACTGGAAACACGCATTACAGACTGATAAAGGACTGCTAAGGCATGCTGCATCAAAGGAACACATTTCATGTGAGAGTTCGTGGAGAAGAGAGACAGATACGCGAGGAAACAAATAAGGAAATTAGTACTTTGGTGCAGATCAGCTGGCACGGAACCGTTATTACGTGTCAGCTGTCGTTAATATACGACTTTAGCTTTTTTAGCTGTCAACCAACTCCCTCTCAGAGGTGACCACGATTCACTCCACAGCATGTCCGAGTCAGGCAGTGGGCTCTTCCTATCGCTGTTTGAGTATACGCTGCACAAAGATGCAGAGTTGGCCAAAATAATGGAAAGCATTCCCCACAGAGCAACGTACACCTCTCACGACATGCACAATGCCATAATAGAGCTAACAGCAGTTCATCGTCTCCGTCTCTACTATTTCTCTTCGATTGTTCTGGCGCGGGGTCTGGTGGGGGGAACATTCACAAGTCCGAGTCCAAGTCAGCGTACGCGATAATTCACGAGTCCGAGTCCGAGTCGCGTCAATCAGTGCGCAAGTCCGAGTCGAGTCACGAATCCCGAAAATCGGCACTCGAGTACTCCATCTCTGGTACTGACTATACATAATATATATACAGTATGTCTACTGTATATATATTATGTATATACAAATATATATAAAACAAAAAATAATAAATAAATAATACAAAATAAAATTAGTATATAATGACAATGACTTAACTAGAGGGGGTGGGAGCAAACCCCCACTGACCGTCTGATTGGTAGATATTTATAAATGTAAAAGCTTTGAGGGGTTGCAAAGACTGGAAAATAACTATATAAATGCAGTCCATCTAGCCTTTTAGTGTATGTTCTCACCAGCTGTGTCAGTGTCAGCTTGACCACAGACAAATAATGCTACCCTATCAGAGAAAGGCCTTTAACGGAGCTAACAGGCTAGCAATGTGCCTTGGGTGGTTGGCAGAAGGAATAATGGAGATTTGTTCTATGCCCGTGTCTCAGCTGGCAGGAAACAATTTGCACGTCACGAGTGGGCCCAGAAGGCGGCCTACCTGCTGGGCTGCACCCTGGAGGAGCTCTCCTCCTCCATCTTCAAGCACCAGGCCAAGGGCACGCTGCCCAGAGCCAGCTCCATCCGCCAGGCCTGCGACGAAAATGGCACTGCAGACTCAGGTACTCCACAGACCAGGTTTTAACCAACACACTCTTTTCCTCTTCATTCCTCACAGCCAACTCCCCCCCCCCCCTTCTTCTTTCCTTCTCTTTGTCACACACACACACACACACACACACACACACACACACACACACACACACACACACACACACACACACACACACACACACACACACACACACACACACACACACACACACACACACACACACACACACACACACACACACACACACACACACACACACACACACACACACGCACGCCTCTGCTCATCACTGCAGGGAAATTGCATGCTCTGGAGAAAGTAAAGCTTATCTTAGTAATGAATACCGCAGCTTTACAATGGCTATTGACAGATAAGTACACTCACTGTGTCGGGACAAGCAATTTTGGATTTGCTCTTCGTTCCTCGTCCTTGAAATCATAATTGCCTCACATTGATTTTTCACACTTTGAAGGGCAGGAGGTTGCAGTTAAAAGTCTGTCAGAGAAGGGATGGGCAAACTTGACCTCCGTTTCACTTTTCAAGTGGTTACCTCCCTCACACATGAACATACAGACCAAATTTGAAACAAACCTCTACACACTAACCCTTCCCGTTTACAGTGTTTGCGCGTTTCTGTTAAGGTTAAGGCGTTGAAGACTGGATGTGGGAGTTATTAAACCGTCCAACAGGAAGTCATAATCGACCCTTACTTAACCAACTGCCCTGCCTGACCAGGTGCAATGCTGTTTGGGCCCTTTTTATGGAACATTGAGTAGAAATAGTTCCATGCAAACATTTTGCCTGCTAGTAAACTGTGCACACATATTGCACATGTTGTAGTTTTATTTGTTTTACTTAGGATCATAAACATCTGTTTGACCACTATAAAAAAGGAACCTTGTACCTATTTGAACTTAATATTATTGTTTTCAACTAACCTCATACAGTTATGGGAAATTTGTTGACATATTACATTTAATGAAAGTCAACGTTTCAGTTTTTTCAGTGCAGTCTAGAAATGCTACACATTTTTAACTGATGGGAAGGTTTTGAATATTTACATGCAACGCTAACAAAAACTATAACCAAGCGTTTCAGAAACATTCGATTTTAGACCTGAAGTGGTTTTTAAAAAAAAAGATACGCCACTAAAGAATTTTTGGGGTTTTATTATAATTTGTATTTATTGTTTTTCATCCAAGAGATGCTGATTCCAAACCATTGTTACAAAATGTTACGACAATTCCTTTCTACCAAAGAGAGAGAAGTTAAATCCCGAGTCTTGTTGAAGTATTCACATCCAACACCTTAAAGAAGGTGAGTGTGACTACAGACTGAGTTCGCTCTTCACAAAGTGGGAGTGTGTAGGGATTGGTTTGGAAGTGAGCCACAGTCATCGATGTGCGTGTGCATGAAAATATCCCCGTGGCACCATCAACACACTATTTGGTGTGAAATTGAAGTAATTAGGAGAGCTTAACAGGTGGACATTGCCGCTGGACACAGACATTCGTATGCACGGCTCTGACAAATTCAGAAACACCTGAATCCCAAATGATCCCGCTTTAGATTATTGGCAGACAGTTTGTGTTTCTCATAGCCGCCGTCGGAAATAATAAGCACAAATATAATGCTGTTTAATCTACTTTTAGAAACAAATGGTGTTACCATAGTTCCAGGGAAGCTTTTGCTGCTCAGAAAATGCCTTCTTTGTATTAAACTGGCTCTTATGTTCTTTTGTTAATAGAGGTTTGTGAGTAATGTTTTCTGTGTCTGGCTGCCTCTCCTTGCAGGATCAAAGGCTTCGGGCATGGACTGTTTAGAGGCCATGGCATCAGGGCTTTATTCTGAGCTCTTCACTATTCTCATTTCTTTAATAAACAGGTAAGTATTTCTGATCAAGCACATGTTTGAAGCTGTGTCAATTGTTGATGGCATTATTTTTAGCTGCACTTTTTATAATGGAAACCTACTTGGGTGCTTTGTGCATCTTATAAAGAGGATCCATTATGAAAAACTCTTGTATATTACATTTACATATCTGGATTTCTTTCCAACCCATAAAATGTGAAAAAAGACGAGCAATCATTTTTTTGTGGGCTGTCACAAACAGAAAACACAGGATTCTACAAGCAATTCCTATTTGGCTCCATTTCATATGTCTGATATCTAGGATCCCCCCCATAGCTTGAAAAATTACTTAAAGAATCCACATTTTTCTAGCAAGCCAATCTGAAAAGACTGGTCATTCTGGATAGGGTCTTAAAGAGACAAGCGTTAAAACAGAGTGTTTTAGTCATAAGGTATATGCAGATAGGACAGTATGGAAAAATAATCCAAAAAAAAATACAAGCATAAACCTAAAGATGTTTATGAAATGTCCCCTTTAAACAAAACTATTTTAATTCTGCTTGACATATTAGATATTATTCTAAATTGTAAATACATTACTGTCATTGTTAAGCGATGTCTGTCCAGAAAACGCTGGTTTGTAATGTCTTTCTGATAAGTTTACAAGTATAAGTATTTATTCATATTACATACAACGTGTCTGTACTGATCTATAGTGTTATTAATTTGAATACTACAGCTCCAGTGCTTAAACATAATAATACTGTTAATTAGGGATGCACGATATTGGTTTTTTGAAACCGATACCGATATCGATAACTTCCTGCTTCTCAAGACCGATACCGATAACCGATAATAATATAATATATATATATATTAAATGTACCTGTAGTTTTTACACACCTGGTGGTAAAAAAAGACTAGTAGTGAGCAAATGACATGAGCATTACTACTATGAACAAAACAAAGCCAAGAACAGTTTTGACTCGTCAAGCGCCATCATTTCTATGATGAAGTTAGAGATCGTTTTAGCCCTGGGGTCGTCTCTGGCAAACTTCTTGCCTTTTTTAAAAGCCTCGTCGATAGGTAAAAGCCCCGGTACCTTTGCAGCTGGCTTTGGATTTGCCGCTAGTTTAGCAGCGCAGGCGTCTTCGTACGCTTTTAACACACCATCGTAGCGATGGCGATGTTTCAGGTGACTAATCAGGTACGAAGTATTATAGCTCGTTGCCTTTTTCCCTCCTCGTGGAACTTCTGCATTGCATTTGTTAATACAAATAGCAAGCGAACTATCTAACTCTGAAACTTTGAAATAGTCCCATACTACCGGCGACATGTTTGTTTACTGTCCTGGCTTCACGGCCGCACACCATTTACGTCACAGCCAGGCATGAGTTAGGGAGCGCTGGATTTGTGAAGAACTCCCCTCTTCCTAAACCACTAATACCACAGTACTGGCAAAACGGGAGGAGCCGAGTGAAAAACAAGCGCCCCTCATCCCAATCCACCCACACCGCAGTATTTTTTCTTTTTTTTTACCCAAAAAATATATTGTATATTATCGGGGCAATTAATACTTTTATCGGGTTTATCAGGATGACGTCATAATTCCTAATATCGGACCGATAATTATCGGCCCGATAATTATCGTGCACCACTACTGTTAATTCTATATATACTTTAGCTTTTAACATCTGTCATATTTATATACCTTGATACTGATACATATATATTACTCTATACATAACTGCATGTTGTTGTCCCTCTACTTGAGCTATCTGCAGTGATAATACAGTTGAATCTAATCTAATCTCATGAAATACTATTCTAGCTCAATGGCTCGGGTTTAGGCGCTAACCCAAACCTAAGATTATGTTTAGTGAGGGTTAAAGTTGGAGATGACGTTGGGAGAGCTAAGGTTAAAACTAGGGGTTGCATGCAGTGAATGCAATCAATAAAACATACTCTCAAGTATTTAAATGTTTCTTTGTGTGTTTACCCTGCGTGCTTCAGGGCCTTGAAATCCAGCCAGCACTCCCTGTGCTCTCTGCTCATCGTGGACACGCCAGGCTTTCAGAACCCCCGGCTGGCTAAGCGTGAATGCGGCGCAACCTTCGAGGACCTGTGCCACAACTACACTCAAGAACGCCTGCATTCCCTCTTTTATCAGCGCACTTTCGTTCAGGAGTTGGACAGATACAAAGAGGTGAGGACAAGTGTTTGGCACCTCCAGGGTTAGGAGGGTTATTTAAAAATGTATTCCATTAAAATAACTAATTACCTGTAAAATATGTGATTTCATCAAAGTTTAAAATTGATGTACCCTATTACTTTCTTTTACTTTGGAATATTTTAATATGAAATACAGGCAAACAAATACAAGAAAAAAGAGATATATTGATAACACGCTACTTAAATGTATTATTTAAAGGGGACCTATCATGCAAAATGCACTTTGTGATGTCTTTTATACTTAAATATGTGTCCCCGGTGTGCCGGGGAACTCACGCAGCGTCAGAAAATAAAACCCTTTCTCTTTTCCTCCGTACCCAAATCTTTTAAAAACGGGGGTGCAACGAGCGGATACAGACTTGCTGCCGATATGACGTAAAATCGGCGGCGGACCCACAGAGTGTTGCTATCATTGCTAAACCATGCCTGACGTGTTTTGGACGTAATCTCGTCTTTGTTTACATTAGCAAGCCTCGCTAACACTTAGAGCTAACCTGTACTGAAGAGCACATGTGTTTAAAAAGCAGGAAATAAAAAAAGAACTCACCTTGTGATAAAACCGCAAGAGAAAAAGTATTTGAGCTTCACACTGTTTCAGAAATAATCTTTGATGTGGTTTAAAACAGGATGGCTTTTTATCACAGCAGAATGTAACTTTATCTCTAGTAGAATTCTGATCAGGCATTCGCTCCGCCTCTTCTTCTTTCTTTTTTTTCAAGCTAAGGACCCAAAATCTGCGTTTCTCTAACAGGGCAGCAAAAGAGGGGTATGAGCAGTATGAGGCATGGCTACAAAGGGTGAACTGTTTGGTATTTTAAGCAAAAAACTTCACAGACATGTTTTGTATAGGTATGGTCCTACAATATATTGTTCCAATATAGCATAATAGGTCCACTTTAAGGCAACAGCACAATGCTTACTTAGAGAAGCAAATATTTTATATTAAAAGTGTGTCCTCTGCTCATGTTTGTAAAATGCTAATTTCAGTTTTCATAAATGTATTTTGTGCCTCTACTCTGACATGTTCACATGCTTAAAAAGTGCATAATTTTCTTTAACTGCCTGTGCTGCAGCACCTCTTTGTCGAATCATGTTCAATGTGTTGGAGCGCTAGCCAATAGATCGGAGAGTGTAACATAGTGATGTCACTATGTTACGGAAGTAAACAAATGATTGCAATGGATGCGTTTCAGGCAGGGGGGGAATATGTGGGAGAGAAACTCCCTCTGGAGGGAACTTTGGGATTTTAGTCTTTGCAGACCATTTACATGCACACAAACCTGTAACACACTACAGGAAAGGGAAACCCCCAAAAACACAATAGGGCCCCTTTAGGCATATTCATTCACTAGTCAAGAGAGCCACAATGTAAATACACAATGCATGACCATACATAATTGACCTTATACTGAAAATCTAATTCAGGAAGTACGCCTACCTATTCTACTACAGAATAGTATCTTTGACAAAGCCTTTATTTGTAAAAGCTTTGTCAAATCAGATGTAGACTCCTTGGATAATGACAGTTTATTAATAGCTGGATGGCACTGCTTGCACTGAACAGTAATGTAGTTCAGTTTTTTTTCCTTGAAACGCAAAATAAGTTGATAAGTTGATGATTAGCTACAGTATGGTTTCAACAGAGAATCGCTTCACTTGGTGTATTGAGACTCGGGAAGTATTGTAATGTGTGCTTCGTAATATATCGTTATTTATTTTAATATGTATTGTAACATTATAATCTCAATTTTTTTTATGTATGATTATGTGTCTTTTTTAATATAACTGAAAGGGAATACCTTGTTTTCGTAATATAATTACGCTATCCCGTTACTTGTATTCCGTTACACCCCAAGCCTGTGCACCGTGCACACAAACATAACTTCCCTTTCTTCTTCCTACCCCTCTCCCTTTGTCTCTCAGATATATCAACTCCAATAGCGCATGTGCTCATACATAAGATACACCATCCCTCCCACCTGTCTCTAGCTGTGACAAGGCAAAGTAGATTGTGTGTTAGACCTCCTCATTAGGGATGCCAGTCTTCACCTCTTCTCAAAGATCAAAGTAAAGTCACCCACGACTGTCTTCGGGAGAAACGCCCAGCTGCACAGCGGCGGTGCGGCTCCCCAAAGAAGGAACTATAATTCTTCTGTCCTCCTTTGAGTTTGTCTAGCAGTGCAAGCCACTACAACTGAGCCCAGGCATAATACAAGTTGATATATAGTGATGGATATGAGATAAGTTCTTTCATCACTTGCATAAATATATCCACCCATTACTGCTTTCCAAACTTTAATCTTAAGGAAGGGAGGAAATTGGGTTTTGTGAAATTTCCTTACAATACATGGAATAAAGTTCAAATAAACTAAAATAAAATGCCAATAAGTAGTTGAAGAAAAATGTGCAATGAAAAGATAAAATAAAGTATAATACAAAAATAACAAGTTGAAATAAAAATGTGCAGTAAAAAGATTAAAATAAAAAATATAATTTTTATAAACATGAGAAGTACATTTAAGAATGTGCAGTAAAAACATACAAATAAAATAGTATAACAATATGTATACAAAAATGAAGTTGAATTTAAATGTGCAGTAGAAAAATATTGTAAAAATACAACCATACAACCATAAGAATGTGCACATTGTAAGGGTTATTTTATAACTCAGCCAGAGCACACTAAAGCTAAGCAGAAATACTGCTTTTGATTCTTTGAACAAGGATCCAGGGACTTCTCATCCACATCCACTCCTACATATGCCCGGGAGAAAGGGAATTGGAGCGAAATGAAGTATAAATCCTCACCTCATACCTGAAAGACCGTACCTACAGGGTGACTTGGAGAGGGTCTGAGTCCGACCCTTGTCAATTAACTACGGGGGTCCCTCAGGGCTCTGTTCTTGGTCCCCTCCTCTTCTCCCTGTACACAAACTCGCTCGGATCAGTCATTAGCCCGCATGGTTTTTCTTACCACTGCTACGCTGACGACACCCAATTAATTCTGTCCTTTCCCCGCTCAGAGACACAGGTCGTTGCACGCATCTCTGCTTGTCTAGCTGACATCTCTCAGTGGATGTCTGCTCACCACCTCAAGCTCAACCTTGACAAGACTGAGCTGCTCTTCCTCCCGGGAAAAGATTGTCCCACTCTTGACCTAACAATCAACATCGGCACCTCAGTTGTTTCCCCGACTCAGACTGCAAGGAATCTGGGTGTGACCCTAGATAACAACCTGTCCTTCACTGCAAACATCGCTGCTACAACCCGTTGCTGCAGATACATGCTTTACAACATCAGGAAGATACGTCCCCAGCTGACTCAGAAAGCGACGCAGGTTCTGGTCCAGGCTCTCGTCATCTCACGCCTAGACTACTGCAACTCCCTCCTGGCTGGTCTACCTGCATGTGCCATCCGACCTCTGCAGCTCATCCAGAATGCAGCGGCTCGTCTGGTCTTCAACCTTCCTAAATTCTCCCACACCACTCCGCTCCTCCGCTCCCTTCACTGGCTTCCGGTAACTGCTAGAATCCACTTCAAGACACTGGTACTTGCTTACCATGCTGCAAATGGATCTGGCCCTTCCTACATCCAGGACATGGTTAAACCGTACAACCCAGCGCATGCACTACGCTCTGCATCAGCCAAACGACTCGTTGCGCCCTCGCTGCGAGGGGGACCCAAGTTCCCATCGGCGAAAACACGTGGGTTTGCTGTCCTGGCTCCAAGATGGTGGAATGAGCTCCCCATTGACATCAGGACAGCAGATAGCTTGCACATCTTCCGGCGCAAACTGAAAACTCATCTCTTTCGACTCCACTTCGAGTGTTAGAACTATTAACGAAGCACTTTTATACTAATAAAGGACTGGCTTACCTAAAGCCAGTTGAGTAGCACTTGAAATGTTTGGCTCTATGAAACCTGATGTACTTATATGATTCTGTTTTCTTCAAGGTTGTGTCTTCCTGGTCGAATGCACTTATTGTAAGTCGCTTTGGATAAAAGCGTCAGCTAAATGCAATGTAATGTAATAATGTAATGTAAATATGTGGAGTGTAATTCTCTCTTGTCGGTGCAACTTGAAAATACAAGAAGCTGTGAAACTGGTATTAAAAAACGGGTCAAACTCGTTTGACTCAGCGCAGAGTATCAATAATGGCAGGTTAAACTGTGATACACATAAAAGGAACATTCTCTTTTAAGTCCAAATTAAATTGAGAGCTTTAACTGTGTGGAGAGTTTTTGTACATCTTCTCCACTGCAGAGAACAAAAGTCATTTCGGCTACTTCACACACACTGTCAACTGGAACACTGGCATCTGTCACGGCCACACTATTAGCAGCGCCAGCATTTCCCCACATTCCCAATGCAGCTAGCACTTTGTCACTGCGAGCCGCATTACGCCTGATCTGCTCGGGCGAAGGGCATTTACTCTATTTGTTTCCACTTTAATCCCACAGATGTTGTTATGTGCAACAGTAATGAAATATTTAGAGAGTGAGTTTCCATTTACCTATAGGAAAAACAGTCTTGGTAAATGTCAAATGTTGTTGTTGTTATTATAGATTCGTTGTGGCTTTTAGTTTTCTTACATTTAGTATGCCATTGTTTTTTTCTTTTTCTATTCTGGAGAATGTCCAGTGCCTGGGGCTTTTTTCAGATAACAATTCCTTTTTATTATTCATTTATCTAATAATACATTTTTTGTTGAATCCCTTTGTCTATAAAATGTCTGAACATATTATATTTCATGAAGATAAAATATCTTATTCGACAGGCAGGAAACTGTTTTCATTTTGTCCTCTCATAAAACATTGCTGAAAGTTAATATTATTACATTGATTAATCGCTGTAGATGAACCTAGGATGTTATGATATTACATTCACATTATATGAGCCTGGGGGACAAAATACACACAATAGCTACAGTTTTGTAAACCTCAGTGAACATTAATTGAAAAAGATAGATATAATTATTTCCCTAACAGGTTTTTATTATTTCACAAAATATTCTGCTTCAATCCCTATTTATTGGCGTCAAGCCTTTCCAAAACCAATATTTCACTGACAAGTTATATAACTATTTAAAAAAGTGTTTTTATTTTCAGGGAGATGATCTCATAAAATATTACAATTGAAGCTTCATTTGAACACCTGACTAGAAGCTTTTTATGTAAACATTTTTGATCAGAATATCAGAATACCTTTGTTAGTCCCACAGAGGGGACATTTACGTAGCCCTTATTCCTAGTTCATTTAAAACTACTTTCACGACACCATTGCATTTTTTAGCGGCAGTAAGTATGACCAAACTAAAAGTGGCATTCAAACTGTGGTTCTAATGTTTCCTGGCTTTCTGGAAAAGTTCCTCTCCCTGAAAGGGGACAGCAGGCTCCTCACATAGAGAGACTTCCCTTACAACTGCACCCACAGAGGAACAGTTTCATTCTTCATATCTCCATTACTATTTCAAGAATATCAGCCCCCTCTTGATTAAACATATTCCTCTATGTCCATGAAATGACATAAACCCAGCGCACCCTTTTTCTCAGCATGTTAAAATATATGCCAATAACTGAATGACTTTTTATCCCACACTATTCAAATGTCTTGTTTCTGTTATTTAGTATCATTACTAACAAGTACAATTGTTATCAAATTGAAAAACAGACTAGTGCAATATCCAAATTGCTTTTAAGTGCAATATTTGTAACAGGCAAAACATGTAAAAGCATCGTTCTGAATGTATTATTGTGCTGAGAAGATGCTCCAGCCTACAAATAGTCTTTGGTTCAGATTCTCCCAAAAAATCACACCATGATCATTTTGTTATCTCTTTCAATAATAATGCGAATAATGGTCCATATTGCAATATTAATCAAATAATATCAATTAGTTATTTTTTGCCAACTCCTGCAGACATCCAGTACGTTATACTTGTGATTCCAAAAAATTATTATATATTTTCTTTTATATACAGTACATGCTCCAAAAAAACAGGATTCACCCGTTTTCCATTCCTTTTTTCACATGGTCTCATATTGTTTTTATTTCAGTTCATCAAGCATTTCCTTAAACTGTTATAAATGTATCATTTGTGTAACATAATAGAGCATCACAAGTCTTTAAAGAGTGTCTCAATCTGCGTCTCCAGGAGAACATCGAGCTGGCTTTAGATGACACCGAGCCCAGCACCTCCCTGTCTATAGCAGTGGTAGACCAAGCCTCAAGTCAAGCACTGGTAAGTTCAATGTTTTCATGTCTGTTATTTCTCGTGAAAATATATGGATATTTTCATGCATGGATCCGGTGTTTCCTCAGAATGCTTATCAGAACCCCCAATGTGCTGCGTTTGACACTGTTGACCACAACATATTACTAGACCGACTGGAAAACTGTGTGGGACTTTCGGAAACAGTTATAAATTGGTTTGAATCCTACTTAAAGGACAGAAACAACTTTGTTTCTATAGGTAAATACACACCTGAGTTGACAAATATGACATGTGGGGTTCCTCAAGGTTCCATCTTGGGGCCTCTTCTCTTTAACATCTACATGCTACCACTGGCTCAGATAATGAAAAACAACAAAATAAGTTACCATAGCTATGCAGATGACACACACATTTACGTAACAATTTCACCAGGAGACTATGCTCCAGTTAAAACACTGAGTAAGTGCATTGAACAAATCAATGACTGGATGTGTCAGAACTTTCTCCAATTAAACAAAGATAAAACTGAGGTAATGGTTTTTGGAGCCAAGTCAGAACGTATAAAAGTTAGCGCTGAGCTTCAGTGTGCAATGTTCAAAACAACAGATAGAGCCAGAAATCTAGGTGTAGTCATGGACTCTGACCTGAGTTTCAACAGTCACATTAAAACAGTTACTAAATCAGCCTACTATCACCTAAAGAACATATCTAGGATTAAAAGACTAATGTCACAGCAGGATTTGGAAAAACTTGTCCATGCTTTTATCTTCAGTAGACTGGACTACTGCAATGGTGTCTTCACAGGTCTCACTAAAAAATCTATTAGGAAGCTGCAGCTGATTCAGAACGCCGCTGCTCGAGTCCTCACTAACACTAAGAAAGTGGATCACATCACTCCTGTTCTGAAGTCTTTACACTGGCTTCCTGTGTGTCAAAGAATAGATTTCAAAATACTGCTGCTGGTTTATAAAGCACTGAATGGTTTAGGCCCAAAATACATTTCTGACCTCCTGCTAAATTATGAACCATCCAGATCTCTCAGGTCTTCAGGGACTGGTCAGCTTTCTGTCCCCAGAGTCAGAACTAAACATGGTAAAGCAGCGTTCAGTTATTATGCTCCAAATATCTGGAACAAACTCCCAGAAACCTGCAGGTCCGCTGCAACTCTGACTACTTTTAAATCCAGGCTGAAGACTTTTCTTTTTGTCGCTGCTTTTAATTGAACTATCCATATCTTAGACTGCACTGTAACTTTTATCCATGTACTTTTTCTTTTAATGTTTATTTTATTAGCTTTTCTTTTTAATAACTGATTTTAAATGCCATTTTCTTAATGTCTTTCATTTTTTGTAAAGCACTTTGAATAGCCTTGTGTTGAAAAGTGCTATATAAATAAACTTGCCTTGCCAATAGTTTCATTACTTGAATTGTGTTCACACAGTTTGAAAATACAAGGACAATCATAGGACATGATCATGATACACTTTCTGATGCTTGAAAACAGGGGCCCAGACACTAAACAGAAAGTAATTACAGAATATATTACTATCACATCTAGAAGTGTAGAGTTTTAATGTTTTATACAGAATCACTACAAGCTAAAAAACACCTAACAATGACCAAATACCCTAAGATGTAACCCAAACAATTACTGTACATGGTCTGAAAACATCAATTTCATCTGTCTCAACATTGATCTTAAATAGGTAAGATATAACAAACACATATTTACACATTAAATGCATTTTAGAGGAAAGTAAACTGTGTAGTCAAGCTTTGAAATATTTGCTTAACATAATACATTACATTACATGTCACTTGTTAGACGCTTTTATCCAAAGCGACTTACATACTCAATACTGTGGACAATCCCCACAGGAGCAATTTGGGGTGAAGTGTCTTGCCCAGGGACACAACGACATGCTGACTGCAGTGGGGTTTGAACCTGTGACCCCCTGATTTGAGCACCAACACACAACCCACTGCGCCACACACCTCCTACTAACATATGCTGAATTGAGCGCTTTTTAAAGACAGACAGTATCAACAGTTTCTGTTTCAATCTCATTCCGACATCTGCAAACCACACTAAAGCTGGTAAACACAAGTTCAAGTTGTTTTGCCCTTTATAAGATAATGTTTCCTCATATGTACTATATGCAAGAGAAAATAAGTTGGGATAATATCACACAGTCTGTCGGTATTGACTACATTATACATTACACAGGCATTGTGAGGCATTCCATTTTCACATAGAAAACTCTGGATACCCTTTTGTTTTTAAATTCAACAACACATATTATCATTTAGCTTCAGACGGTTTTTTTTGTGTGAGTTTTAAATATTAAAAGGTGTTTGGCTGAGGCTCAAAAGAGAGGGCAGGAGAAGGAAAAAGAAAGGTTAGAGAATTGACTTGGAGTGAGAGAAATCGATGATTGGCCTCTGCAGCCTGTGATCTGCACCATGGAAACAGAAATGGCAGAGTTTCTAGAGTCATAGATCACTTTGTTATAATTCCAATGTGTTCTGTTTGACTGCTTTACTTTTAAGGGGGTCCATACACTGATGGGAGAAGCACTGAACCGTAGTACATCACTCTTAAACCAAAGGGGTACAAAAAACGCTGATTCTTCAAAGTCATTTCTAAAGTAAACTAAACAAATCTGCTGGTTGGAATGAAAAGATCCATTATTTTCACTCACAGATATGTTTTTTTCCCGTTGTAGCTCAGATGTCCTTTATCGCTCTAATGCTCAATTCATTGCGAGCCTCACAGTTGTCATATGTCTCCTCCAAACTGATACTCTGTGTTGTATTTGAAGTCAGCGTAGTGTGCACTGCTGATAAGGGTGTCTCCAGTGTAACTTCCTGATAGCTGCTTAAAACTGTTTTTGGTTTTTTCATTCTTATTCCCAATCCCAAGCTATCAGTGTGGATATTGTTCCCACTGGAGCTCATTGTCATCTGAAAAACAATAGTGGCTTAGTTTATGTCTTTGGGCAAAGGGAAAAAAAGGGCCTTATTATTTTCTGTGACATGTCTCCATGATTTAATGTTCAAAAAGCTCTTTATTTTTTTCATACTGTCTGTGCTGCAGCACCTCTTTTCACCCTCTGTCTGAAACCAGAGCCCAGTCTGCTCCGATTGGTTAGCTGGCCGGCTCTGTCGGGATTGTTCAACCGCTTAGAGATGTACCGCCCCTTAGCCTGTCACGTTCAATGTGTTGGAGCGCAAGTGTTACATAGTGATGTCACTAGAGAAACTCCCTCTGGAGGGAACACAGGGATTTTAGCCTTTGCAAACCATTTACGTGCACACAATCCTATATTACACACTACAGGAAAGGGACAACCCCAAAAAGCACAATAGGGCCTCTTTAATGTAGTACTCTGCTTTGAAGTATGCAAAAGTAAAGCTTCATGCCAAATAAAGTTTGGCAGAAAAAATAAAAACCTTTCCCTTGCACTTATCCCATAATCATTAATAAGAGTGGGTTTTATTTTCTTCTGTGTTCACGCTAATTGTAATGCTAATTGTATTACTTTTTAATCACTTTTTCCTCCTTCCATTTTCCGTATTCATGAGCTCTTTTTTGTTTCCATTTCAATTATAAGCAAAAGCTAAGTTGATGATGCCATTATCACAGCGACTTGCTGCAGGGTGCAGGGAGCGCAAATGCTTTTGAAACTTTAATTTCTGATGCTAGAATGACTCTCAGGCCTCTCAGCTCATACTGGGGAAAGCACACTACTTTCACTGACATTTAGTATAATAAAATATTTAAGGAAACACTGACCTTTCTTAATAAAAAGGTTTTTCTTTCCCTTTTCTGTATTACAATATATTGTCTTTTTCCAGACCAAACAGTTCTATCTGTTTTCTTGTAAGCATGATGTATGTCTGTTTTCATTGTTGCTTGGATTTTGACAATATTACAAAAAAAAAAAAATCTTTTTTAGAGGCCAGCGCTCAGCATTTGAAGGATAATCTTCAGAATTTTTTGCTGTGAAAGAAAAGGCAGAAATGTCCTCTGATTCATGAATGTGTTCCCATTGAATAGCTAAAGCAAGCTAAATGTCCTTGTTGCCATGTGGTTTGTTACACAGTCTTTAGCCATTTGATTAGCAAATATTTTACGCTCATGTTCCGTTGTACACAAAGGATTCAAGGCAAAATATAACATGTTGTGTCCACACTAGATTTTCACAAAGGAGCTACGACCTCTGTGCGTTTATGAGAGCGTACATGTTTGTTTGACAGGTGCGGACGGTAAGGACAGATGAGGCGCGGGGCCTGCTGTGGCTGATGGAGGAGGAGGCGCTGCAGCATGGGGGGTCAGAGGAAACCCTGTTGGGACGTCTCTTTAGCTACTATGGGCCTGCCGAGGGCGAGAGCAAAGGCAAGGAGAGGACAAACACACGCACACACAAACACGCACACGCACATGCACAAATGCACACACTTTTCATGGGTTCAGGTTTATATGTCTTTCTACTATTTATTCACCCTGAATGCCATTGACCCACACACACATGTGCACACATACACTCAAAGCTAATACAACACATGGCAAGCATTCTACTTGAGTATTTTTAAAGGAAAGGACTAAAACTTTGAAATATTTTCAAGGGTAAAAAATTATCAATTTACTTGTGTAAAAACTGCCAGACCTATGATGTATATTTTGGTGAGTTTAGCACTTAAATGATCCTAGATGTTTTCAAATCCACTTAATCAAATGAAGGTAAGAGTCTTTTCCATTGGGTCGCCTTGATTTAACGTTAATAGTAGCCAAATCGTGAAACCATTTTATTCAGTGTTTTTACCCTTTATTTTGGGGAGCAGGAGACCTCATTTGGCTTCTGGTCAAAACCTTGTAAACGATGAACAATTAAGGTTATTCTAACTGGTTAGAAATTGACTGCAGTAAAATTGGCAATACATGAATGATGTTGCTAAATCATTAACAGGGTGTAAAGAATCGTACTTGGTATGAACTTTCATCACTGTCAATAATTTGAAAGAGCAGAATAATTTGCCGATTCTTGCCACAGGTTTTATTCAGAAAGAGACATTCATCATGTATTACAAACAATGTTTGAGACGTCAGCAAATACTCTTCTTTTGTGTCAAAGAACATCGATTGTATGAAGAGACCGATAGGCTATTCTTCTTGATAGAAAAAATTGTTCTCAAAGCACTATTCGACCAGTATCCTACTGTGGATGAGTCATAGAAATAGTATGTAACCTAACAACGGTTTCTTCCCAAGGTTACATAATTGTATATAAGTGGTCCCTATGGAACTCAATAGAAATACATCAGAAATATATGAGCCAGGTTGGAGCTCTAGTTTATCATCCATATGTCTTGAATAGTCTATCACATGAACAACTAGGTTGAGGACAGATTGTCTTTTATTATCGCAGTATCAGTAAAGTTTATATAGGTTTGTGGCAGTGCATACAAGAGGAATCAAGACAAGTTGCAGCTCTGATTAACCCTTCACACTTTACTAAAGTCATAAAGGAGACTGTTCCAGGAATCTGACACTTTTTTTCCCATTTTCATCAGGTCACACTTTCCTCTTGAAGAGTGAAAAGGATCATCATTTCCTGCTCGGCCACAGTCACGGAACCGACTGGGTGGAGTACGACGCCTGCGGGTGGCTGAACTACGCCAAGCTGAATCCTGCATCTACCAATGCTGCAATCCTGCTCCAGGACTCCCAGAAGTACGAATGAGTAATCCAACAGTATTACTTTAGTAGATTTTTCAAAAGAACTTTAGGCTGAAGTTGTGTTCTCTTACAGGAAGATCATCAGCTCGTTGTTCATGAGCCGAACTGCCGGAGCCACCGTTCTGTCCGGTTCGGTCGCTGGCCTTGAAGGCGTTTCCCAGCTTTCATTGCGCCGGGCCACTAGCATGAGGAAGAGCTTCACCACAGGGGTTGCTGCTATCAAGAAGAAGTCCTTATGTATCCAGATAAAGCTTCAAGTGGTGAGAGGAGAAGATGACAACAACACAGAGGGGCAAATGTATTGAATTGCATATCATTTACACCAGTTATCTGCCAAGTCTCAAGGTCTAATTCATAAAATAAATAACAGAGAGGAAAGGAAGAAATATAAGCGCAAGATTAGTGAAGAAATTATTTCATTATCTGCTTATATAATAACCAAGCTGCAACCTCTGATGATGAAAAATGAAGCCAACTCAGAAATGCCAAAACTGCAGTATGTGATAGGCCAGGGGGCGGGACATATCTAATCGGTTGACCAATCACAATTATCAATACAATTATGAAACCTGAAAATGAGCATAATATCCCTTTAATATTCAGGATGGAAGTAGCAACAGAGATAATGTATTTTTATAAATGCCCACCCACCCCTCTCGCCCCTTTTTTAGATACCAATATTTTCAGCCGTCCCCCCCTAATTTCATACGGTACACCTACAATAACCCACTCTCATCACGTTCTTTGATGGTCTTGCAATATCATTTTAGAGAAGAAGCCACCGAGTTTGGGTGCCTTACAAATTGAGATGATACAGATTGAACGTTTTATTATCTCTTACGGCACTGTTATAGAGTAACTAAAGTGCTTGACAAGAGCATCATTCAGAACTGTTATGCTAGATATAACCTGCATGTGGCTATTATAACAAACTCCCTAAAGTAGTATTTTAAGGAGTGCACGTCAGAACCAGTATGCTTTACATTTGGTTGCTTTGAGTAACCTATTACATGTTGATACATCTTGGGGAGACATTGCGTCAGCCTTCCACAGTCCCTAACCCTGCTCTGTATTTTCCAGGATGCTCTCCTTGACATGGTGCGCAGGTCCAGGATTCACTTTGTTCACTGCATATTGCCCAAGGCAGATGCCCTGAAGGCTCTGAGCGGATCCCTGTTCAAAGCAGGCGAATGTGAGGCGCAAGGGGAGGCTGGAGATCCCGGCTTAATGCAGCTCGATGTAGCCTTGCTCCGTGCTCAGCTGCGTGGCTCCAAGCTGCTGGACGCTCTCCGGATCTACAGGCAAGGTGAGGCGGCGACCAAACTCACATACTGAGCACAGGCAAAGAAATGCACATGGCTGTAAGACGTTCTCAGATCTTCTGCTTAAGTCAAAGTAGCAATGCTGTATACGTAAAAGTACATAAGTATAAGCATCAACATATACTAAAAGTTACCAAAAGTGAAAGTACTTGGATAATGGATAGTATTTATTATATTACACAAATATGACTATTGGTACATTATTGAGTTTTTATCACAGCTGTTTAAGGTGGAGATTATTTTAATGACTTTATGTACTGGTGCTGTGTATCTTAACCAATATTTATATGTCTTTATGTTTATGTTTTAGTTGATTTATGATCTGTATTAGCTAATCATCAGAATAGGTAAATGCAGTCGAGTAAAAAGTACAATATTCCAAAATGCACAGTGTTTTAAGAAGTACTCAGATATTTTGCTTAAGTTACTACACACACAAAAATACTCTATTTCAAGCAAAGGAACGGCATTCAAAATCTTAAAACATAAAAGTATTTACGCTTTTTTAGTACTTGTTGTTATGTAATAAATTACGGGAATTATTGGTGCATTATTGTGTTCGTCCAACCCAGTCTCACAAAAAAACGTGTAATAACTACGTTGGTCCACAACTTGGGACGTAGTATTTCTTCAAAAACGCCTCTGAAATTGTATTTTTTTTCACCATTCATTTCCAATGGCTGGCGTCTATGTCACGTGATCTTCAAAAACATGGCCGACATTCGTTTTATTCTCGGTGGAAAATGCCTATTTTAAGGTTAGTTTGGCCATTAAAATGCGTTTTGATGTCATTTGATGCGAGAAATATGAGTTGTTATTTCAGATTATGTGTGCAGTGGATGTACATGATCTTTAGTTTGCTAGTTATTACGAAGATTACTTCAGGAAATGGTGTCCTTTCAACGTTTTCATTGTTACCAAGGTGGTTTCTAGGGACGCTGCTATCGATATTATTTCTGTTATGTTGTGTAACTGTTTAATGGTGTTATCTTTATTGCTACCCCCTTCCCCGTCAATTTATAGTGTTGGTCCACAGCGCAAACATTAGTTTAACAAAATCCGCATCTAAAATGTTGGCATAGATACGTTATTTTTCCTCCATTTACTCAACAATAACACATAATTATCCTTGTGTTTATTTATTTGTTTGATTAATAAACACAAGTTGGAGTCCGTCAGGACCGAGGGTCGGAGCAGCTCATAGTAGCTTAAGAGAATTTTACACCCGGAAGTAAGTATTCTCTCCGCTTCGCTTGACAAACCCCATGATAGTCCTCAAGCTCTGTGATTGGATGTTTGAGTGTGCTCCGAGGGTTACGCCGAGCGTCGAACAGCACTTGAAATGGGATGGAACCACGGCAGATTGTCCAAAACTGGATTTTAACGGGTCCACCCCGTCCCCAGAACTGCACATGAATTACACATAGAACTACACGCAACATGTTCTCTATGGCACGTCTCTACTGGGAATTGTAGTTTTAAAAGACGTTTTCGTATTTCCCATTATAAGAAGTTGCCAGTATTAAACTGTGTACATCCCTGGAGGTTTAGGGGATAGGAACACTCAAATTTAAAACATATAATTAATAAATGGGTGAAAATGGCTTGTGCCCATAATGGGCAGCATTAATATACCCACATGCCAGCTAAGGTCAGAAGAGCTTTATTTAACAGTTGGGCTGAAGTCAAATAGTCCATTTAGCTTAGGAACCTTCCTAACGGAGTGAAATGACCTGGAAGTCCCTCAGTGGCAGCCATGATAAGAGCCGTTCGAATTCTCTAGAGTCTAAAGTACCGAAGTCCTTTTGAATTCTCCTATCCACTATGTTAAACCCCAAGGTCCCCAAGGACCCTGGTTTTTTTTTTCACGACACTGTCTCAGGGGATCTTAATATTTAAGAACCTATTAATGTGTTATACCAGATTAACGGAAATAATCTCAGCTAACTGACGATACAAACCATTTTTACCAAAACAAAACACAAGTCTCATAAGAAGCATAAATGACCCCTTGGCGAAAAATGCTAACGGATATTGGCACAGAACTCAAGATAAAAGTACCCTTATTACTTATCGTAGCTGCACATACAAGATATCCGATTAAAGCTGAGGTTCCACAGATTATTTAGGTATATAGTATCATCACTGAGTGATACGAACTCGCAACAGGGGAAGCAAACACAGACATCACAACACGTACCTTTACGAAGCTTCTTGGGAGATCGTCTCACAGTAGCTGTCAATCTGATCAAAAGACGTGTTCAATGGCATTAAAACGAGAAAAAACGCGGCTGAATCGGTTAATCCATAGGTTTTTAACGTCTCTGTATAAAAACAACATTTCATTTATAATCCATAATTCCATTTTTATGTAACAATCGCAGAGAAAAAGTTAGCTGCTAATGGTAGCTACCAGAGTGGCTGCTGCTTCCGGTCTTGGCGATGCGGCAGTCTAACACACACACATTACCAAATAAGGACTATGTGGGAGTTCCCCTCGATTCCATTGGCTCTGACGGTTAGAAAGATATGTCACATGTCAAAATCCAGCAAGGGGGGCCAGAGATATGTAAAATCCACCCAAATGGCCCCAGAAGAGTATTTTTGCTAAATCTGTCTAAAAAGGTCAAATATCACTTGTTTTGCATCAATCTTGATACAGGGTACTTATTATATGTTGTACTTTGGATTCCTAAAGCTTTTAGTCTACTAACCCATCATCCAAGATTAGTTTTCACTATAAGTACAACATATATTTTGGACGGACACTATAATTTACAGTTTTTTACCATGTTCAATCTGAATTTTTTTTTAAATAAAAAACATCTATATTTATTCTGACTTTTCTACATCCAACTCACAGGTTTATCATTACTTTGAGAAAAAAAGATTATTAATGTAACCCTTTTAGAAGGGAAGATATGGTCATTTGTTCTGGGAATGTCATTTTTGAGCCTGAAACCTGAAAAACAGGCTCGGGGTTTAACAGGTTTTAACCCCGGGACGTTTCACTCAGAGGTCAAGGAATAGGAGATGGGGTTAGAACTTAGGAGCTGATTTTTAAACTATCCGACCGCAACCCTGGTCTTATGTCTGTGACCCCTCCTGTTGTTCATTGATAAGCCTGAAACATGCACTTGTCAAGGTTCAGAGGCACATTTTGTAAATATGGCAGTAGCCATCGATCATCTTAAGATAAGATATACTTTATTGATCCCAAGTTGGAAACATTTGCGTTACATCAGCATGTGTAACAGTTGTAAATATGCAGTGGTGTTTATTTGTAAATCATTCAGTATAATCACACAAATTCTGTGTTTTATATTTAATAATTCTGTGTTCTTTATTTATTGAATACCTGACAAGGTCGGAGATGAAAAACTGTTCCTCAACAGTGAATTACAAGACATCTATCAATATGTGTGTATACCTCCACCATTAAACTGACATATTCTGCACATTTCTTATACTATCTACATACATCTTATAAGAGTATAATAATATCAGTTAAAATAAGTGCTTCAACATAGTTAACATTGCTGGAGGTTTACACACATATTGATAGATGTCTTGTAATGCACTGTTGAGGAACCTGCGACCCAAGTTTTTCATTCAATGCATAACTACACCGTAGTTGTGTATATGATATGTCAATAAATCTTAGAAGATCTTGAAATCTTGAAAGGGATGTGCAAAATAGTAATTATACACAGTCTTTAATTAACTATTAGAAGAGAATAACGAGTAATGAATATACTTTATAGGGATCCTATTAATATCTAATAATAACAATAATGAAATTCAATAACATGCTTTAACCACTAGGTGTCCCTTTATATCAGCTGTGCACCGTTATGGTGTAAATACAGCCTATCTACCAATTGGATCAAATATAAAAGTCAGCCGAATTAGTGTTGATACTGCAAGGAGACGTATTGTGTGAAAAGAAATGTAAGATGTTGTTTAATTGCTGATATATTTATGATCCACGTCACGTTTTCAGTTTTGGCGGCAGTTCCTCATGTTTGTCTAGAAGTCTTTTCATCAGGGCTCTATAAATAGCGAACTACGGCATATGTAATATTTAATGCAGCCGAACCGTGTATTACAATGTCGTTATGTGATGACTTTCAAAGAGAAAAGTATTTTTTAATTTTTTTAAATGTTTTCGGTCTGTTTCCGGTATTTGCTTATGACGATGTGATGTGAGACTGAGTTGGAGAATTGCACAGGGGAAAATAACGTAGGCTATCTATGCCACAATTTTAGATGCGGATTTTGTTAAACTAATACGTTTGCGCTGTGGACCAACACTATAAATTGACGGGGAAGGGGAGGCGTTTTTGTAGAAATACTACGTCCCAAGTTGTGGACCAACGTAGTTATTACACGTTTTTTTGTGAGACTGGGTTGGTTCGTCACAGCTGGTAAAGGTGGAGCTGTTTTAATTACTTTATTTTAGCTGCTGGGTATCTTAACCAATGTATGATTTATGATTTGTGTTAGCTAAAAATCTAAATAGGTTAAGTAACTAAAGCTGTGAAATAAATATAGTTGAGTAAAAAGTTAATTATTGGCTAACTATAGAGTAGAATAGGGCTAGGGTAAGGGTTAATATCACGTAAAGTATGGGGTTGGCTAAAGCTGTCACATAGATACAATGTTGGCTTCCAAAATGTAGTGGAGTTGAAGTATTGAGTTGCATGAAATTAGGGTGAGGGCAGAGTTCCCGTTAGAATATTTTTTCGCTGGTCAACATGTCCGTTAAAGTTGAAATCTTCCGGACACAATTTGAAAAGTGCCGGTCAAAGGTCTTCTTTGTTATTTATTGAGCTTTAAAACAAATTGATATGATTAAATATTAAACAAACTAATTATAGTAGATTATTATTCCTGTGTTATTGTAAGTTGCTGTACACTTTTGAATAGTTAAACGGAGCGCTCTCTCCCTCTCTTGACAGCCCGTCAGTATCATGCAGCTCGCGGATCAGAAATGACTGGCCCGACGGTAAAACTAAACATATCTATAAGTAGTTTAGGTAGTTTGAGAGGTAATTAAAATAGCTACGTGTGATATTCTAACCTGAAGAGTAATTTTGTTCCGCTCACCGCTGCATGTGATCATGCAGAGCTGCGTGTCGACTCGTCAGCAGCAGCTGATCTCTCTCTCCCGTCAGATTAGACTTCACTCGCGTTTATGTCCATATCGATCAGATCTAGCTAGTTCTAGCTAATGATAGGACTACCTGCTTATTAAAAGACACCTAAACAACAAGCGTCGCTATGCAACCGGGTGAGGCCGCAAAGTATAGCTCAGCATTATGCATTTGTTTACATTCCCACCGGAACCCCGAGGCATTACCAACAGATCAACGCATAATCAACCCATACAGGACATCTCTCTCTCCACATTAAGTGTTAGACATTATAATTGACTATTCTTGTCTGTCACATACTCTTCTTGTCTGTCACATACTCTTTTGTCTGTCACATAAGTGGTGCAAGTTACGCAACTGATGCGGTATTGCGCTAAGGAGAAATATATTTTGACCGGACGCTTTGACCGGAGATATTTAGATTTGCCGGTCTTCAGCATATTTTACCGGTCGTAGTCCGGTAATTACCGGCTAACGGGAACTCTGGGTGAGGGTTTAATTTAATGTAATGCACAAGTTCCTCTAAATTGTGCTTATTTACAGAACTTGAGTATATGTGACCCGCTCTATCGAAATCAGTCGGAAGTCGTTTTTCAGGGTTCGGTGTTTTGTTTGATTTTAAACAAACAAAGTCTTGGCTTTCAGAATATGAAACTTTTATTTCCAAAATCACACGATAAATATATTTTTGAAGCTTGTAAAGGGAAGATGACAGCCCTCACTCGCACCCTGCTCTTGCGCAGCGCTGCTTCCCCTCCCTCCAGCTGACATTATGAATGTAAGGCGTATAGTAATCATAGATAACATGGCAGGGTCCGTTACAGTTTGTTTTTATCTGATTTATAATAAACAAAGTCTTGGCTTTCAGAATATTAAACTTGTTTCGGCAAATTCAGATGGTAAATACAACTTTGAAGCTTGTAACGGCATAATTACAAGCGGAGAACGGAGTAACTTAACGTCACAGCAGGCATAACAACAGCCAGTGTTTCTCGTGAGTGTTTTCCCCGGGAAACAAACACAAACGCAAAATTACACAAACACACACGCACGTATACACACACATACACACACACTTGCGAGCTTCCCCCAGACCAGTAATCCAAACTAACATATCTTCCCTCCGTAGTATTTAGATCATTTGCTCCGCTAACAATCAATCAGATCGATGGATTCCAGAGAAGAGGAAACTCTGAAGGCCTTTTCCTCAAAATGATGACTCTGTGACAGTCATTATATAATGTGACATATTTTGCCCTAATATCTGGAGTACAAAAACAATCCTGATATCATTAGAAAGCTAGGAATCTCCTCTTTCCAACAGTGTATACAACTCAAAGTGTGTCTTCAGGTCAATGCGACTGATTTCGATAGAGCAGGTCACATATGTACTTTATTACATTCCACATACATACAGACCTTCTAACATTTCAAGAGTCTAACGTTGTTATTCTGCAACGACCTTCACAGGTTACCCCGATCACATGGTGTTCTCGGAGTTTCGCCGACGCTTTGATGTACTGGCACCGCACCTCACAAAGAAGCTCGGGAGGAATTACATCGTTAAGGACGAGAAGAGAGTGAGTCAATCAACGGGAGTACAGCTCCGCCAGTGGCCAAGCGCAGGGAAGATTAATGTTGTGAAGAGGCAGCTTCATTACATCTGCCCCTGATTTGTCAGCAGCCAACTGACAGAGAAATACACCCTCATTCATCAGAGCCATTGTAGTGATCTAATCAACTTAACCTTATCGGTATCGTGCCTGTTAAGGAGGCAGATCGGTAGTGTGGCTCAGAAAGTGCTTACTGCGTTCAAAGCTACAAAATACCGTTCAAGTAGATGTACTTATCATCTTTTGTAATCTGGACATTGGACATCAGCTGCCAAGGTTTTACCCAATTGTTCCAACATTACTGGTGCTTTACCTCTGTATAAACCTTTAAAAGAAGATCGCTTTGAATTTATTTGTAGAAGAACCATCATTTAGAGTGTTCTCTGCATTGGTCCTCTTCAAGAGAAGCAGAGTTAAAGTGCAAAATAAAAATACAAAAGTTTGTTTCTAGGGGGAAATAAGAAAGGGAGAGTGAAAGAATGGGGTCGGGGGGGTAGAAAAGCTATTTTCCCCCTGTGCCCATGTTTTGTGGCTCAGTTTCTGTGGAAACGCTGGCAAACAAAAGCCCCTCAGTACTAGTGGCAAGCCTCTCTTGGTGTAATCTAGATCGGCTGGAGGATCAAGTGGAGAGGGGAGGCTGAGACAACAATACACCTACAGTAAACAGGCCGGTACTCGGACAGGGAGAGGCTCCAGGCTGGCTGAGAGTGTACCTCTGTATCGACATTATGTGTGTCTTGAGGAATATTCCAGGGAATGGGGGATTATTGTGGGACAAGTTGTAATTAGTAGTTGGGAGATTCTAAGAAGCCAAACTTTTCCCATGCTTACTTTCAAAACAAAATCCAGCCGGGATATGGATGTGAGAGAAGAAAAGGGAGAAGGGGGGGGGCTGCACTGTACCATTAGTTCAGCATGGCAACTGAGGGGAACTGTGGACTGCTGAAGTGTTGCAGCGTCAGTAGAGGTTCCCACTGGATCCAGCAGTTGAAAGACTAAAGAGTGTGTTTGTGTACATGTGTGCCTTTACCCAGGCGGTGGAGGAGCTACTGGAGTCCTTGGATTTGGAGAAGAGCAGCTACCACATGGGTCTCAGTAGGGTAAGTAATGCCCGAAACATCTCAAATAAATAAGCAGCTTTAAGGTGATTGAGGAAACCTTTTGCAGTAAATCACTGCCAGTTTCCCTCCTATTAAAGCTTCCATCACAGAGCTGCAGTACAAGGCCTCTTTTATCCTTGTTTTTTTCTTTTACTGAAAAAGCCACTTTCAGTCTGGGGGGAGCCTGTCTTGCTTTACACCTGTCTCTCTTTGAGGTTGATTGTCATCCTTTTTTAGGAGAGTTTCCAATCCTTACCCCTTTTTGCATTCTTCCGAGAGGCACTACTGTGCTACTGCCGTTATTCTTTTTCATCTCAGGTCATTAGAGCAAATTCTCCCACCTGATGGCCCGCTTTGTTTTCCCCCATACCCGTTGTAAAGTAATCACAGATAACACTGCCTGACACACTGAGCTATAATCCTATCAGCCGGAAAGTGGCCATCAGCCCTGGAAAAAGGAAATCAAAGGAAACAATAATGTAGAAAAGAGTGGAACTAGTGCTCAGAGATACGTGCGTCTGTACAGGTCACTTTTAGAAAAAAACAGACGGTTTGGAGGCAGCTTCACATGGTGCCATACTCTGGAGTGTGAAATGGGCTCAGGAGTGAACAAGCGCAGCTGGCCTTTCACAAAGCATTCCAGCAGCATCCTAGCAACCTGTCTCACTTGCATGCCCATTACAGCAGATCCATATTATCTATAACAGCGGTGGATTCAGGGCTTTTGACAGGACCTGCCATTAGAAATAGTCGAAATAAAATACCATTTTACATTTTTTGAAAGTGTTGAATTCATCACTTATTCTCCCTGCTCCCTTAACAATAATGCAGACAGTCCTGGCAACAACTTTTTTTTTGTATTCAGACTTTGTACATTTCATTATGTTCTTATTTCAGCATCATTTCATCTGTTTCATGCAATTATATCACAGTATCATGCCTTTATTCTGGCCTCATACTGCTGAAGTGAACTACTTAGATGCACAAAGTACGGTGGCACGAATTAACACAACATTCTACTGGATTGTACTTTACTTTGTTGAATGGCTAAAGTGTTTAACTCAAACACAGGGTATATTCCCTTGCAAAAGCTGCTCTATCATTTTCTGCTTCTGCATTCTAATCTCCCTTTTATGATGTACATTTCTTTAATGCAGTATAAACAATCACTTTTTACAAACTGTTTTCTAATTCCTGTTGTTTTAATCATTTGTTTATGATTGTATTATTAGCATCATAGAAAGGGCTATGAGACGGATTCACTGGTGTCATTGAATGCATCACTCCTCCCTGCTGGTTTGCCGCTCCATCATTTCCCGCTTCTGCTTTGTTAACAACTCAAATTGGGATTTGGTTATTTATATGGCACTGGGACTTGTGTGGAGAGACCTTGGCTGGAGACAGTCCTTCATCCATCCATTTTAATAGCTGGCTGCCATCATATCTGGGATGCATTCACAGTGCCTAATCCCTGTGAGGTACAGACAGGCCATGACGTGATCTGCTTTATATCGGCTGTTTACCTTTGTTTTACCTTTGGCCCATATTAGAAACAGACAAGGCTGATATTCCCAGATAATAACTTAATCACAGCCCTCTCATTTAGATAACACTCACTTGTCCACGGATTACACTGCGTCTTATTGATTTACTGCTTCTCTGCACATATTTACTTTTATTACTGTTTATGTTTTGCTCCTGTGCCTCACACTAAAGCCTCTAAATCCAATTTCCCCATGGCTTAAAAAAGCATTACAGCACATGATCTCTCAATAATTGTATCCTTGGCTAATAAGTGAATTAGATTGTATTGTTTTTTTCCTTTCTAGCTGTTCTTCAGAGCCGGCACCTTGGCTAAACTGGAGGAACAGAGAGACGAGCAGACCAAGCGTAATCTGACACTGTTCCAAGCTTCCTGCAGGGGATACCTGGCACGACAAGCATTCAAGAAGAGGAAGGTAGGTGTGATGGGAATTCTTTTTGGAGCATTGACTGAACGAGGGAGCTGGAGACCAATCTGAAACCTGACAAACTGAAGGTTTATTCAAAGTAGTCAGCCGGAGAAATGACAATGACAATGCATCCTCTCAGACTCTCTGGGTATTCACATTTTACTGATTTCTAAGATGGCAAATATTTTTCTATAGTCAAAACATGTCTTCACACTACAACAGAGCCGCCACCTGAACATTATGATGGATATCACATCTGTTACTGTCTGGTGGGACCTACAGTAGCAGTGTCCTCAGACATACTTCAATTATTCCAAGTAAACAACATTCTTGTATCATATGTATATCATATATACTATAACATATCTATAAAATTCACTCTTCGACTTTATTACTTTATTAAGAGATAGAAATGAGCTCAAAATCTAATAAACAATAGGAGAGATGTCACAATGAGAAGAAGTGCTTAGTCTTACATTCAAGTATAGCAGAAAAGACCAAGAATATATAACCTGTATCCTGAATTTGCTTTAGTTTTACTCAACTTTCGGTCTGTTGGCATTGATTACATAATGATGTGTTGCTCTGTCTATAGATAGGACAGGGATATTGGTATGTTTAGTTTTCTTTTTAAATTTGATTAATTGATATCCTGTTGGACCTTCAGAATGTTAGCATGTGCCATATTTAACTTACTCTGCCATCTCAAAAACAAACATTATATAGAGGTTAAAACGAGATGTGTTCTTAGTTCAAACACAGAAGGGGAAGGTAGCTTAAAATCACAGACGCCACCTCTAATTCAAATGAAACTTGGGTATACCGCATTCATTTATTCCACCGCTCATCTATATCAACATCTAAAGAAAGGAGAGAAAAACAAATGTATTTGCTTCAATATGTGACACGACACAAGTTAGACAAAAATTCATGTGATTCTTACAAAAGCGAGCAAACCTGTCAAGGTCCATTTGGTCGCTTAGTTGTCTTTTATTAATAGAGTATGAAGAATGTGATCCCCAGAGGCTTTGTTGCCTAAGAGTCCAGCAGGAGTTGAGAGTTCCTTGTTCAAAACTAATTTCAGCGCCTGTTTGATCTGCTCTTTGGGTAGATCTAACCCGCTGTACTGTAAATCCTCAACTAATTATAAATGTGTTCTCTAAATCTATTGCCCTTACCCCCCTGCCTCTTATTTTGTAATCCATCCAATCGGCACTCCCCGGGGTGATATTTGATAGTGACACGTCCATTTCTGTTGCATTTTATCAAACTGCCTCCTTTAAATGCAGCCTTATCAAACATACTGCTGACTCACACGGCCATCTGCTCCACCCATCTTCCATTTTTCTCCCAGCATTTGATGGGTCCATCTCTCTGGACCTCATACATGTCCTCTTGTGATGTATGGAGCCCCGCGGTCCTTCTCCCTCTCTGTGATTACTATTTAAGTGAATGTGCCGCTTCAGCTGGCTAGTGATGAAGCAGCAGAAACAGAATCAACATTGCTGCTCTCCATCCAGCATGACACGTTGTTAGTGAGTAGTTATCTTGTATATGATACCAGGAAAACTATTAAATTGTCATCTTTGCAAAAGGTAAATCAATATGACCGTTGTATTACTGTTCTTCCATTTCTCTTTTGCTTTTAGAATAAGAGTCTTGTTCAATCAAAAGAGGGTGATGTTTTTTCTTGTCTGGGTTCAAAAGTCATCGTTCTCACAGTAAAGCAGGCTAAGAGCTCGGTGCTTCATAATCCGCGAAAACTTCAAGTAAATCAACAGACCTTTCAAAATTGCTAGGCAACTATGCAATTACAGAAGTCATTAGCAAAGAGGCAATTTTTTCCCTCTGCCCCCATGTGACCCCTCTCTCTTGCAAATGCATCTATTTTAGAAAGATTTTACGCTATTCTCCATTTTATCTTGTAATTGTTTTGCACTTAAACTCAACAAAGGGCAAGGAAAGATGTAACATACAATTATGAATGTGATTGGAACTGACCACAGATACATGCAAGTCATGATAAAGGTGGATCTAGAAAGGCTTATTTAAACTGTGCATATGATTATGCTTCAAACTTTGAATTTCATTTGCAGTTTTAATACAAAATAAACTGCATTCAATCCAATGGAAAATAAATACTTGTCCCTGGAAGCAGGGACGTGCACAGACATTTGGAGGGGCTATTGCTCTAAACAGGAAAAAGGGCCTCCCCCCGAAAAAATAAATAAGACCAAAACGATTATTACATTAACTAATTTGAACAGTAATTCACATCATCATCTCATAACAAAATAAGCTAAGGCAACTACTTGCATTCGGTGACTTGATTTTTAAAATGAAAACCAGGGCCATTTTTTGTTTTGCGGTCCATATCTCATTAAAATATCTAATGTTAGTTACTATTAAAGAAAAAATGGGGCTTCTATAATTACCTTAAATAAACTCACTAATTAATGAAACCAGTTCAATACGCATTATTCTTATTCTTATAATTATTTATGAGCGCAGTGACGGTAAGGTATCTAATTACTTATTTATTTAGTATTCCATAACTTAATAACAGAGATGGTCAAATTAAAGTAGAGACATGGCAGAAATCCTACAATGAAGCGGGGCAGTGAAGTGTTCTCCTGTGAGAGGGCGATCAAGAAAAGAGAGCGAGCGGCGCGTTGAGGGAGTTTACCATGGATGTTTAATAGGAGTTTACGGAGCAGATGAAAAGACACAGAAAGACAGAAGCACAATAACAAGTATATGTAGGTATTTTTTGTAAATAACTGACAGTGTCAAGAGGAAGTAAAGTCCCGCCATGAGAAAACTCAAAATCCATTTTCCAAAATCCGACACTAGAGGTGGTCTTAACGCACCGGCACCAATACAGAAGCCTATAATAAATATATATATAATACGTAACATGTGTAATCACACACTTAGCGATATAGAACATAAATAATAAAAACTGGCCTACCTGGTTTAAAACACTTTTGTGGTCATACTGTGGAATGAGTTCACACTGAAACGAGTTCTTCATTAAAAATGTCACGGGCAATTACATGTAAGAAGGAGAAGAAGAAGTAAAATAAGTAGTAGAAGAAGAATGAAGCTGGTGTGTTTCCCGCAGCGAGACACTACAATACTAATTGTGGCTTATCATGTTGATTTGACCACAACAGAAAGAAGAAAAAAAACCTCTCGCTCTCTCCAGAGGGGCAGGTCAGCCAAAAAGGGGAAACGGGCCGTTGCCCGGGCAACAATATCCCGTACCTGTGCACGTCCCTGCCTGGAAGGGCACGGAAAGATTAATGCAAGAGAACTCACACAGACACACATATCTCGCACAGATCTATAGATTTTAAATGATAAGGCCCCAGTTGTAATCACTTAAAACAAAGGTAGGAATAGTTTTGCTGTGTTTTAATTGCAATGAACAGATCAAAAAGGATGACAAAATAACTACATCCTGATGCCAATTTGTAACAAGTTGGATAAGGGCTAACATTTTTAGCTGCTCCATTAACACTCATCACAGGAATATTGAAATTTGGAAATGAATATTGGCACTGAAGTTATTGTTTATACACATAGATATCTTCATTATGTGGCGCTAAAACACACATTTTCCCACCTCAAATTTGCGTCTATACTGTTATGGTGAGTGAAGCAAGCAGGACCCAAATGCAGATAACGCTGAAAAAAGCCTTTATTTCAAGGATAAAATAAAAATAACTTGGACAAAACAGAACTCTCACCGGTGAACTTATTCACAAACAAAAGACGAACCAACACTGAACACAGGAAAAGACAAGACTAAATACAGGGAGGGGTAATCACAAGACGAGAAACAGCCGGGCAGGGGAGGAGAAACACAAGGGCGACAGGTGAACACAATCAGACAATTAGACACACCAGGGAAACTAACAACAGGGGAAAAACACAAGAAGGACCAGACAATACACAAGGAGGAAAATACCCATAACCAGACATACAAAACTACAAACGTGACAAATCATAAGAATCCTGACAATACTGTTTCTTTGAATTGACATTACATTTATTTGTGTGAAAAAACATGCAAAATATAATCTGTTATTTCAGATTCAGAATACTTACACCTTTATATATACCTTTGAATTTACATATCATGGAAATGTGTCTTTGGCACTGGCAAATAGCATAAAATAACACTCACCATACACAGCATACACATACCTATGGAAGCCTGTTTGCGCCACAGGAAAAAAAATAAAGAAATTCTGTAAGTCAATATATTGACTTAGCTATCTCAATATATTGACTTACTATCTCAATATATTGAGATAGTAAGTAAATATACAGGGTTCGTACGGGTGCTTGAAATCCTTGAAAATGCTTGAAATTTGACGTGGTGTTTTCAAGGTTGGGAAAGTGCTTGAATTTTGGGAATGGTGCTTGAAATTGAGATAAAGTGCTTGAAAATGTAAATGCTTTACTTTTACAATAAATTGCTGTCTGACTGAATAGTTCGCTTTTTAGATTAAAAGAAAATAATTGCTTCGCTTCTACATAAAACAGCTCCGCTGTGGCCTTCCCGCGCTATGCGCGCGACCTGCATGTGTTTGTGTTACGTGTGATAGATGACTGTGTGCCAGGAGGTTGCAGTTCTCATTCATAACACTCCGTTCGATGTCTCACTATGGGATGCGCCTCAACGCGTATGCAAGCAGAAGCATCAATCTCATTATGCCAATCCTGATTGGCTGGTGATCTTGACGTCAACGTCAGGGAATCCACCCACCCTTTAAGTAGCTTGCGCTACGACGCAGCGTCATTCAAACACCTCTTCTCGCTTCAGAGCACATCTCGACTTATCAGTAACCGGGCTAGCTTAACGGTCCACAGACTGAATCCAAAGCTAACATTCGGTCGACGGGTGCTTGCCTGTTACTTTTTTGCTTTGCAAGAAGACTGAGCAATATTAACACACCAGTTAATATTGTAATCTGCCTCGCCGTTCTTTCTGTCGA